TGATTTTTAAATATAGAAACTAGGAACCGCTGCTGGTGTTTGTTGTAAAGAATAAATGTTAATCGTGTTAGTTGAAATACTTTTTGGAACATCGAGCATGGGGAACTACGCATGGATTTCACCCATTTGCACTTTTCTCTTCACAAAAATGTGCACTCCTCCAACACCCTTAACACATTGGTCACCTTCTAGTTGTAGTTTGTTTGTTCACTGTTTTATATCCCATTTCATATTAATTTCCGTCTTTTATCCCTTACTTTAATTCTTAGTATTTAGATTTTGTAGTGTGCTAGTTAAACGGTCCTAATCGTTATAATATAATTATTTCACCTATATCCAGTAATATATCCGTAAAATGATTTAAGTCAATTCTAAGATTATTTTGTAATAAGTCATATAAGTCGTATTAGTTCATAGTTAATTCAACATATACAACTAATTGTATTCGTAACCGGTATTTAGGAAGCTAAACCCGAAGAAGAAGTGGTAGCATCAATGGATGAAGGTGTAAAAGATATGTTAGAGTATAAAGATGATGGTTATATTGAATTAGTTTTAAAATTAATGGCAAGGATATGTGATGGTCAAAACACTGGATTGCAGGTAATTGTTGGTATATTATGTCCGTGTATAATAACTAATTATATATATTACATACATTTTTTTTTGAATCATCATCGATATAACAAATTGACTATTTAATATATTCAGATCATTACGAAAATCGATAGGTATCATCCTTACTGACATAAAGAATGTCGACGATATACACATAAACTTGCTGTGGGTACATATTTATTCTTATGTTTGCTAATAATTTTGTTTAACTCTTTCAGGATTATTTAAGAGAACAGCCGGATAATGTCAAATCATTTAATATTGTTGGGGACACATCACAGTTCCTCAATGTTGTATATACTACTATTAATAATAAAACTATAGACTTAGTGATACAAACATTTAGTACGCTCAACGAATTCTGCTCTGTAAGTACAATGTAAATGTGAATCGCATTTTTTATATACACAAAGGAAAATTATAGGTTGAATTGCTAATCAACAGATTCTCGTGTATTAAAAGCAGAAACTAACAAAATTACCTCAGCAGATAAAATCATGCTAATCTATATGTTCAAGAAATATTGAAGCATACTAGGTGATAGATTATGATAATGAACGAATTTGTTTCAGGGTAATCAAGAAAATCGTGCTGTGATATATGATAAAAAAGTGATAGATTATATAAATTTTATATTACGTGCTGGAGAAATAGCTGATTGTCCTGTTGACAAGGTCTGTCTGTAATGATGCACTGAAAGCATATTATTTTAATGTACTCAGTTAAAGCAAATATCTGAGGAATACTAATTATATAGCGAGTGGTCTTCATCTATTGTCTTCATTACTAAGCACGGCAAAGCTACTCATTTCTGTCTTGATTATACATATAAATTGTAGCATGCTTGAGAAAGCTACGGGAAATAAGTTGGGTATTGTATGTCTTGAAGTCACCAAATGCTGTTTAAATCTCGACCTGGTGTTTGGTTTTTGGCAGTTATTCTCAAACATCGAATTAATGTAAAAATTAATATTAAGATTGTGTTAAAGTTTTGTGAAATCATTACTGGGTTTATGTTTGTTTGTTACATATTTGATGTTTATATTTTGATAGGTTATTGAACTCCAACAGATAATTTCATCTCTAATTACATCATTAATAGAAGAAAATGGACCTGGTGCATCGCAGGTTGCTAAAGCTGTCAAAGATGCTTTAGATAAGGAAGCTGTTTATAGATGTATGACAGCTTGTTATGAGATGCATCAAGCTGAAAAACCCAAACTGGAAGGTTTGATGAAGGGAGCTGAAGCTGGTAGTTATCTACAATCTGCTAAATCAATTGCTGCTTTTGGTGGAAGTTTAATTCAGGGAGTTGTGGTAAGTAATGGCTACATTGCGCATTACGACACATTATGAAACAGCTCTGAGAAAATATGATTTGGTGGTTTTTTCATTGTTAATTTACTTTTATCTGATTTTCTTCATGAACTTTTATTTGTATAGAAAGGGAAGAAGAGAAGTGCCTTAAAAGAAACAGTGATGGAAGTTGGATTTGGATTTTATATGATTTTAGCTAGAATGATAGATATTGATCCACTGTTAAATTTGCGTAAGTATTCAACGTTTATCACAATGCGACTGAAATATCTCTGAATTTGCACATCGTACATCCGAGCAATCGATCATTAAATTTTGATTTCTTGTTTTTCAGAATTGACTTTGTCCCCAGAAAATCTCAAAGCTTTCGATTATTACAAGAAAAATTCTTGTTCCATCGAGATAGTGAAAGAAGACGTTCTTCAAAAGGTCAACTTTCGAGTAAAGAACAAGGTAAGCAAAGTATTTCGCTAGTTGTAGCTAATCTGATATTAATCTATTATTGAGATGATTCAATGATAGTCACAAAAGTGATAATATGGTATGACACATATACCAGATAAGCATTTTAAACGAAATGACACTGAATGGAATCTTATATGTTATTAAAATTATTTTTTGATGTAAATTAATTTTACAATAAAATAAACTATATCCACTTTATAAACAGTGCTCAAAACACGAGCATGATATAGAAATATTAAAACAGAAGCTAAAAAATTTTGTTACTCAGAGTTACATATTCAAATTTATATATAATGTATATATTTCCTTTATAACAGAGCGTAGTAAGAGATGAAGTCAAAGAGAAACTAAAATGGAATGTTGACAGAACATCACCAAGTAATAAGATAAGAGATCTGATGCAGTGGACACATGATATTATGAAGGATATCACCTATCAGAAGAAGATTCTTGATAATCCAATTGCTAAGATGTTTACTAAAGGATGGTAGGTATTTGTACAAAATACAGCTTTTTGGGAACTTTTAAGTGGAGCATGATATTGTATTCTTTGTAAACACCAACCGAACTAAATGATTTCCATACTCAAATATGATACAAGATTTAACAATCTCTATCTATTTAAGGCTAGTGTGGAACTATGGATCTATTCTCCTCAGTTTAGCTATCAACATTATAATGTTGGTAACATGGAATGCTAAAGCATCTATGGAGGATTGTGCTGCAGTTTTTGCCAATGATGCTGCGAATGCTTCAATTCTTTGCCCTGGTATTTATGAGTAAGTATAAACCCAACATTCTTATTTGTCTAAATAAACGATTGAAATAGCAATCAATGATTAAATGATTAATGGACATTATCTACAGAGAAAGTTTAGAAAAATATAACCAAAGGCAACATGAAATCTTGAGCTTAAACAGGAGCATTTTTTTTCCATTTCAGTCCGGTACCTGCAATAATTGGTATACCACAAAACCAGTATGCAATAACATTATGGGCTTTAGGAGGTGTCCATAATCTCTTTTCACTATTTGTACTTATCAGTTACTTTCTGTCCAATCATCCTCGAATGCCAAATATTGCTGAAATAAAGGCTGGAGCCAGGTAGGAGATATTAAATTGTTTAGATTAGGTGGAGTGGCAGTGGAATTTTATTATATCAAATTATTTATGTAGCATATTTTAATCTCCTTTCTTTACTTACAGATGATATTTCATATTTTTTAAGTATAAACAATAATGACAATAGGAGTTTAAAAACAATGATTTGAGGAGGATATTTGACCTATATGCATAATAATCCTTCTCAAGTAGGTTGTTTTCTGAAAATAACTTCCTGAAATGTATTGCTCTCATTGTCTTTGAAGGAAACTCTGTGGTCGATCTTATCCTGATGATGAAGAGCTGATGAAGAAAACAGAAAAAGTTTCTAACCTCAATGTTAATTTATTTAGTTTCACCACATTTTACTATCTGGTAAGTTCTAGGCACTATAGCTAAACATTGTTTTTTCATGAATACTCTTGTTTAGGGAAACAGATGCTTCGACTTGCTGGTTTTCATTAGCTTTACTGTTATTTTAAATTCCATCAGCTCAATCTTATAGAAAACCACTTTGATGCATATTTTTACTTTGAATTATTTGATTTAAAAAAAGATTATGTTTCCCATTACAGCTTTTTCTTGGTATGTCTATAGCAGGAACTCTATTCCATGGTTACTTCTTTGCTTTCCATTTATTAAATATTGTCAACAATAATCAGCTACTGAGTGGGGTCATAAAAGCTGTAACTGTAAATGGTAAGTAAATATAACTGTTATCCACCATACAAATCAATTAATAAGTTACGTTACATTATCAACACATTCCGTGGACCTATATAGGTATAGAAGCACTGGTGTATGCGACAAAACTGTTTTGCAGAGAGCTAAGATAGGTTTTGATAAAAAGACAAAAAAGAAAGTGTTCTCTGGACGTTTTCCTCATTGACAAGTAACTGATTAAGAAAAATAACAATATATACTTTCTGTTTTAGGTATGTCGTTACTATGGGTAGCAGTTCTTGGTTTTGTTGTTATATATATTTACTCTCTGGTGGGATTTGCACTGTTACGAAGTTATTTTTCTGCCAGTGACTATCTCTATTGTTCTACATTGTGGGAATGTACTGTAACAGTGATAAGATATGGTCTTATAGGAGACATGTTTGAAGTAAGTCCCGACAGATTTGTTTCATTTAGGAATAGGATCTACCATTATTAAGGAAAGTCACTACGTCTTCATAATCATTGGATGCTTCTGTGAGATCCTATTGGCATAAAAATAGACCTGTTGTACCAGTTTACCCTCGGTCACTGATTCCAGTTGAAGGGACTAACATGAAAAAAATGATATGAAGTTCGCATCGAACACCTAAGATAAACTGCATCGCATTACACGCTCGTCTTCATGAGCCAATATGCAACATGAAAAGGTGGTGAAACTCTATTTTTTGTTTTCACCATTTCCATAACCATCTGAAGCTTTCATTCATTTTCTGCATTTCAGGAAATAAAACAGAATCCACAAGGCAGCTCGTTCGGTAGTTTTTGGCCATTAGTTATATATCATGTGACATTCTTTATATTCATAACAACTATTGGTTTAAATATTATATTTGGTATTATTGTTGATACTTTCTCAGAAATGAGAGACTTAAAGGTAAGATACCTTATATTTATGTTTGCCCGAATTACATTAGAATTAGATAGATAGTTTTGAAAGATAACGATTTATATACGATTTAATTCAACGGAAGGAACTCACTGCTATTATATTTGACCACAATTCCCCTCAAATTAACTTCACCACTTTTCAGCATCTATTCAATCTCAACTTCAAACTAATCCCAACCTCATCTTTTACCCGTATTCCCTGTCACTACAGTGACCTGTAGCTACTTCATTAACCTGTACGTCTACGTCTTTCCGTTAATTATTCTGATCCCCGTGTCACTACTTCAGGGCTCAATATAATCGAGCGCTGCGTGAGTTTTTAAGACTAACAGTCTTTGGCAAGGTCTGTCTGGTGTCTCTTATACACATTTTTCAATCTAAATGAATCTTGGTCCAAATTCTATCAGATTTTGTGATCAAATCTATGTACAGTCCATGTGTATGACTTTGATATTTTCAGTGGAGAGCCGAATCGGACATGAAAGATACGTGTTTTATTTGCAGTAGAAATAGTTACGATTTTGAACATCATGGCAGGGTAAGGTTACAGTTTATAATACCTACCATTCTGAAATTACTGTGTCTTAGAGAAGTTGCACTTGGTGTACCAGTTGTACACAAATAGTCTGAAACACCGAAGCTATATTCAGTTGTTGTTTTTGATACTATCATTGATCATGTAACGTTTCATAAATTTGACAATTGAAAGTCAATTGTATTTACCATTGAAAATGGTTTATCCGACAAGTTATTATTTGATTCCAGGGTTTTGATTATCATGTTAAAAATGAACATAATATGTGGAGTTATGTGTACTTTATTATACATTTGGATGATATAAAAGAAAGTGATTATACAGCTTTAGAATTATATGTCAGTAAACATGTAAGTAGATGTACACTTTACTTCCAATATTACAGCAATTGTAAGTTAAAACATTTCTATTTAGAAAGTCAAAATCGTTTTCCAACCCTGGTTTTGTTTTGTATCATAAAATTCCACTTATATCTACTTTTGAGGTACAATTCTGAAGGCCATTTACTGAAATAGAATATTGCTGTTGCCCAATTGTCTTGAATGAAATGAAACACAATGCTATAAATGATATTGTAAAAGTTTACGTTTAAATATGTTGTGAAGACTTGAGTTTTATTTATGTTTGGAACTAGTTTATAAGAATAGTATTAAATTTTATTTACAGGTAGAGAATGAAAGTTATGATTTCTTCCCTCTTAATCAAGCTTTATGTTTAACATCAATTGATATAGACTCAACAGAAACCAAAATAGATGATTTATTACATCAAGTTACTGCTATAGCTAAGAAACAAAAGGAAGATGTAAGTCACTAGAACCCAATGTAATCTAATGATTTATCATAATTTAATCATATAGGTAGATAATAGGTTACACCCCTCTCTTTTTGTTTGAGATTTTAGTTTGTCACTTTTTGAGAATATTTAATAATTGAAATTTAAGAAATATTATGGGTTTCCCTTATAATCCACTCTTACATTAAAAAGTTGTACATGATTCATTACAGGAAGCGGAGAAAAAGAGGAAAGTAGAAAAATTAAAACAGAAGAGATGGCAAGAGAAACATCGTCGTAATTTCTTTGGATATAATCAGGAATATGATGATACACAACCGTTAATTCCTCGTGCTATAAGTGATGATAGACTTTCACGAGAACCTAGTGCTTCACGGGACGTGCCCATGATATTAAGGCGCCCTGCCGATCCCAGAACCGCTTCAAAACTTCTTTCCCCTCCAACTGATGACTCTTTCCAATTACGGCGGCGCCATCTCCCCCCAAAACTTCCACACTCAGCCTCTCAAGAGGAGGGACCCGAGGAGGTGGTGAGTGATAGTGATACAGACAGTTTTCAACGTGAAGGTTCTTACGATCTTTTAGATGACGATAATGATTCATTACCACCTCCACCCCCACCTTTACCACAGCCCCCACCTCCATTGAACTTACCTAGTTCACCTCTAGCAAGAAAGCCAGAATTACCTCCCGAACTAACTGATGATGGGGGTGACGTTGGAAATATTAGATCAACTGATTTATAATTGTTAATCAGTAAATGGATAAGAGGGCATGTAGGTGTATTGGTTTGTTCCAGTAAGGGGCAACGAAAAGCAACATGTCGATGAAGGAATCAAAAAAGTACTATGATTTGTGACTGATATTGGTTGTTATTGAACTATGCCACATTCAAGCCTGAGGGCTTCCACAATACCCAACATCTACTTAATTTTACAATGTGATTTATTGTTTGGGAAATTTATCCTGTGTTTTAGATTTTGGCATCATATTTAGTGCTTAGGCATAATATATGTTTCATTTCATTATTTTGTTTATATACCTTAAATCAGACTCGTTGTTTTTTTAAAATTATATTTGATTAATTAATTGTTTATTTTTAAGCTTTTAATGAGCTGAGATAATTTTTAGTTTCTGTTTCCATTTATTTACCCATATTTAGATTGATATCTTTATAATTTTTTTCATTGTGAACTCGATAACCGTTTTGTATGATATACATGAAGTCAAGAAAACACTGTTTCAGTATTGGCTGCGGTATGGACTTTTCAATCTTCTTTTTTACATCTATGTGGGCTAATGAAGACAACGCCTTGCGATATGCTTCATGTTGCCATCTTTTAAGAGTCATTAAATTGTTTTCTACAATTTCTTCAGAATGCAATCATTTGCAAAGTATTTTTTCTAACATTCTAATTAAATTTGACTCAATTTTGCGGTATTTTTATGTGTATGTTTGTAACTGAACAAACATACTTAAATGATTTTGTATTTGTATTCTATCCTTATATTCCGTATGGCAAAATTGGCAATCTAGATTTTGTTCGGATTATTATACGCAAAACATGGAAATGTGGACGTATATTGCCTTCGCCCATGTCCGTCCGTCGATCGGTTCGTCCGTCCGTTTTATATTTCTTGTAGTCACGATATAGGCTACATTTTTTATCCGATCTTGATGAAACTTGGTAAAAGTTGGTATGCAATAATGAGATCTCAACCAAGTCCGAAATTGGTAATAATCGGATGAACGGTTCAGATTTATTGCCCTTGCTAGTAAAAACGGGTCAAATTTGGCTGGTCGGCACGATAGAGACTACAGTTTTTATCCGATCTTGATGGAACTTGGTATGCCTGTAGGCCTATATATTGATGAGATCTCAGTCAAATTCGAAGTTTTCTAATCTGATGATCAGTTTCAGAGTCATTGCCCTTGTGTGTACATTGTTCATGTTTGAATTTGATGATAATTTTATGAACTGTTTTGCCTTGACTTACACATATTTAAAAGATTATTTGAAAATTATTGTTAAGCCACTAAAGATTATCATTTCCGACAGCTGGTAGTGGGCGTATGTTACCTTGCCTGGTAAGCTACCTTTAAAGAATGTAAAGTTCTTCAAACTTAAACAAGATTTCTTGGCCTTTAAGAATTCCCCTTTTGAGATGGCAGATACTCTGAAGTGAGCTGTTCCATACGTCATTTATTACATATATTCATTTATATGATCATGTTGAAATGGAGATACATTATTATTATTATTATTATTAAGACACTTATAGAGCGCCATCTTTCACAATATGTGCTCAGATACATTACAAAATAGATATAAATACCCTATTAATTCTATGTGCATATTGTACAAATATATCGTTCTTTCGTTTTATTTCTCCTCACTTACCATATAATATTTGGATAACGTTATAAATATAGCGTATTTTATATAAGATTTAGTCTACTGTATTATTATTGTCATTTTTGATATCTGATGTATGTTGGTAATAAAATCATGTATAAATTTCTTATTGGTGTTTTTCGTGCATTAACAATATCTTTTTGTCAGCATCAACGGCGTTTGAGAGCTTTCAGATCAAAGTTAAAATTGTGATTGAGATTCTCTGACCTTTTGGATACGTTTCATAGTACAAAAGTAGCCTATACAAGACAATCAGGAGGGCTAAGAAACCGGGTAATCTAAATCCTGAATATCTGATTTTGAGCAAATGAATGTTAAAGTTAGACTACTATAAGTACACAGTCATTTTCTCAGAAGTTCTCTTCGTTTGGTGTATTTATACTAGTGTAGTGTGCCGTTCTTATGGCTAATATGATTTTCTATTTTATAAGCATCTGTAAATTTGACAGGTGTTCTTAGCAAAGGTATAGAGAAAAGCATTCAAATATGACAAATTATTCTATTATTTTGCCCATGTCAACTTCATCAGGAAATAAAGCCATGTACTCACAATCTCTATCTTAATGTTAATTTATATTTATTTTTGAAAAACAAACTTTCATAATGAAACATTTATGTAATAAAAAGAACCTTACATTTAGTCATTAGTATAAGGGTGATAATAAAGATCCAGCAGTTAGATTAATCTTCCATTTTCGAAGGACTCTTCCTGGATGATTTTCCAGATGGTCTGCTGACGAATCACTCAGAGCATTATAAAATTCGTGATAGATTTGTGGTGTGTATTTGAGCAACTTCTGCAAGTCTTCGCGGTTTTCTTTCTTCAACGAGATGAGGTGTGGGGTAGGCTTGAGGTACCTCTACTTCATGAAATGGGGTGTTTTTTGACAAATTATATTTATACTGCATGGTCATTCCGCCTTTCACGAACCTCATCCACTTTATTTTAAGCCGGGAGACTTTATCACTTTCAATATTCTTCATTCTGTTAATTAAAATTTGATTTTCTAGAGTCTTGAAATTCTTAAAATCTGCATGTGTTTTTTCTATCACTTGAAAAGGTTTCTTTTTGTTGGCAGACTTAATAATATCTATCCACTCTGATGGAGCATATATGCAAGATTTGGACTTTTCTTAAAATAGCCCCGAAATATGTATTATTTGGCAAAAATGAAAGACCAGATTTCATAAACTTTCTGTGACTATTAACAGCATACAACATCGCTGAAGCTATTGGAAAATTTCGGTTTTGACCGCCACATAGTGTGTCGCTGTAAGTTAAGACATGCTTTATTTCTGATGGTAGAGTCTGAATATAATCAAATAAACAGGACCCTATCTCTGTTGACCCACGCTTACCTTCACACTCATCCCAGGTGTATTTCAGGCCAATATCTTCAGGATAATGATGGATCCCAAGATTATACAACCACATTTGCCTCAGATAAAACACTTCGGTAGTGTTGAGATGAGGTATAGGAAGAGTGCGCTGTAAGTCAAATGTTAAGACATTTAGATCATTCTCTGTACTTGATCTCTGGATATCCTCATGCAGCTCACAGCCTCTCTTTGTGCTTTCGATTAATCAACAGTTAATCTACGTACTTAATCTATCTATGTACTTTTTGTGAAAGAAATCTAACATATCAAGGTATATGAGGCAAAATATGTTTTGAGGAAAACCAATATGATGCATCCATTAAATATCTAACTATTGCTCAAGTGATCTAAATCTCTTTATTTGATAGCACATGGACTGTTACAGACACATAGTATGCCTTGTAGTGAGCAGACATTAATGGCAGAAGTAAAGAAAAACTCACTCAGTTGAATAATTAAAAGATGTGGTGGATCATATTCGCTGCCGCTCGAGTTAAGTTCATCTGAACTTTCTTGTAAAAATAAGCAGTCCAAGGCACGCTCAGTGTTCATTCTTTTCGAGGCCATTTTGAATATGGGGACTTAACTCTCATCTTTAGCCTAAATTTTAATTTCTAGGCCACACAGATAAATTGATGTTAGGAAATGTCAAAGTGATCCACCTCCGCTTAGATCAGACGATATACAAAACATGGAAAATTTGGAATGATCCAAGTTCACATGAAACATTTTATTCTCTTAAGGCATAGATCACTGGACATCAAACAAAGAATATCGGGAGATAACTTATAATATAATCTTAATGCATAAAATCAAGAACTAAGACTTTTTTTTTTTTTTTTTTTCTTTAAATTGTGATCTTTATTTTTAAATATATAATATAATAAAATACAAAATATAATACAATACAATACAAAATATAATACAATACAATACAAAATATAATACAATACAATACAAATGCATGATATATATAATTTAGTATTTACAATAGAAATATATATATTAAAATCAGTATTATATTATGAAACAAAGGAGAAAATATAGGTTGGAAAGATTGATAGAATGAGATAAGAAGACAAAAGAGGAACCCCTGAAGATGAAAGTATGACCAAAACATGCACCAAAGGACTTAGAACCAAGACTTAGATCACTTGGCTTTTCAGCCCATTATGATATGGCAGATTACAATTAAAAATAGGCGACAGGTTGGATCTTGTTTACTTCAAACACATGACGTCCGCGACTTTTAGCTCGGTCACTTGAATAAGGTCTTGGTTATCAGTGGCATTTATAAGAATCATTAGGTGGAGAGACCGAAGAGGGGTGAAAGATTTACCAAGAGAGGGCTCACATCACCAGGTATATAAGAACTCAATGATAAGCATTTCGAACTGAGAGCCACAACCGGACCAGTATGATTTCTGGGGGCTCCAGTAGAAACGCTACTGTTCCAACTGATCAGGCTCTATTGGATATACATTTCCGGAAAGAGCACCTTACATTACTCTGCCCTGACCAACTAGAAAAATGTAGCAAAACATTCCAACATGGTCAAATTAGGGCCCATTTATAATTCGTTTGTCTTTTTAACATTTTAATAACACAAATTTAGTACACATCGACAAATAATTTTCAAGCACTATCATTGTATGATTATCAAAATCGCAAAAATATCGATTAAACAATATCAATTTGGCATATAATCCACACTTCAAAGAGAGCCGTCTGAAATGATTTGAGATCCGATTGCAACATGTCTATGGTGAATTCTTTGATTCCGCACTTTTCTCCAAGAATAGTCATAACGTCTTAAAGCTTGTATTGTCTCTCTCTGTTTTTTATCGGATTCTAACAATAGTCTTCTAACAAATAGTGAGTAACCTCTGTTAGTAATACTACGAATTTGAGATTTAATATCACTTTCACAAAACAATCTATTCCACCACCTTTCTGTTATACGATGTGCCATTTTATTGTACACCACGTAACGTCTTGCTCTAGGCTTCGTCTGCACCGCAAATTCAAACATAGCGGGTTTCTCGGGATGTGTAGGGAAAACAATTTTCTTCTTGTAGTGTTCACCATTATACGACCAATTATTATTACTAGATAAAGAATTGTCTTTGCAAATAACTTTTTGCCATTGCGACCAGTTCTTGTCGTTGAGGATGAAATTATTTTCAGGAACCATTTCTCTCCTCAAAAGAGACGTGTCAGCTTTATTCTGTAAAATACCAAACTGAAAGAATCATCCAAATAAAAGAATCTTTACTAAAAATTTATCAGCGTGAATGCTCCACCGAAGGCTAATCGGTGGTGAGTACCAATGCAAAAATGTTAGAGATAATAAGCTCTAAATTAAAATGAAATCATCTTAAATAAACCAAGTACTAACGGTCTGAACGACAAAACGAAACCTTAAATCCACAACAAGATTTTGACGGAACATTGGAAGCAGGTAATTAATTTTTGACATGAGGAAGTATATCAATCATAAGTGAGAAAGTATTTCTATTTCGTAATGAAAAGAGGTATCAGATGTCTAGAAGAGTAAGCATACCCTACATGGCGCCACATCGGTCAAAGTTGCTTAACAGACACAACAAACAGGAACACACAAACAATATTATTTACCTTTTTTATATTTCTACGAGTTTCTGCTGTTGATTTCTTATAAGGTGTCGTAATCGCCAGTTTTACTTTTTTAGCCGTTTTCACCTTTCCCGTGGATGTATCCCCTTTTCTTTTCCTAGCTTTTCTAACTTCACAAGACGTGTCTGTACTATCGGGTAAGGTAAAAGTGTCATCACGTCTTAATTTTGTAAATAAGGTGTCTAAATCATTATCTAACATTGCCCCACGCCGTTCTCTCACTTCACTTTCATAATTAAGAAACAGCTCATCTCCTTCTTCTCGGTATGCTACTGCCATCAAAAAATCAAAAATATTGGAGAAGTCTTGTAATTGTAAATGATGGCCACCAGTTTTCCCCGCTAACGTTTTGTAGAACTTTGAAGATTTGTTAAAACTGTTTGGACGACATTCAGTTGCATATATCTTTACTCCCTGAAAAGGTATATTAATAAGTCAAATACCATTGTACCTTGAAAGTAACGTTTCAGTTCAGTTCAGATATTGTAAAAATTAGGAGTATCTGATTTAAATGGATATAATATAATAATAATGCCACTTTGATTTAACAAACTGTGGCCATATACTTTTCAAAATATTTAATCGTTACCATCGTATCCCGAATAGGGGTTTTGACATATTCTTATTAACGTATGGGGTGTGATTTGGACACGATACATAAACTGAGAGTTCAAAATATACGTTGCATTTAAAGCATAGCCACAACATTGTTTTTACAAAACACAAGCATTACATACCATTTTTCCAAGATGATCAGCTTCGTCCCTCCAATTTATGTTAAGGGTGTTATTTCGATAATTTGGTTCATGGGGATTGGCATCACCAATTAAGACCAGCGATCTCTTAGACCCTGGTGTCCATGATAATTCTTCTCTCACTTGTCTTAATACCAGTTCATAACACTCATCTAAATCACCGCCACCTGTAGGCCTTGCGGCTTCTTTTACAAAGTCGGTGATTTTTGTTATGTCGGTTGTAAAATCAATGTATTTCGTTACATAGTCATTATGGTTGCAGTAATCAGCATGAGCAAACACTGCCATTCTAATTCCAGGTATGTCAGTTTGAAGTCGCTTCACTATAGTCTGAATATTGTTTGTGGCCTCAACGAGACACTCCCCCATGGATCCAGTTGTATCAAAAGAGAAAACAATCTCCATTGATCCTCCAGGTGGCAACATTTTATGGAGTCTGAAAAAAGGAAAGTGTGGGTAAGGAAAAGGGTGTTTTAGGGGGTTTACGGTAAAGCGTCGATGTTCGTTGACCCATCAACTAATCATATGACTGACTTGTGTATACTCAATATCCTATTCACTTAGTTATTACGAATTTATTGATATGGGTTACCTAAAAAGATACGTTCTGGAATATAATAAACTTTTGCCAAGGTTTCAAAGTCGAGTAATGCTGAAATAGAATGACATACCTTTTCAAGGTTTCTCTTGAACAAAAACTTTCGCTATATTCAGGTTTATTGAGCACTGAATTCTTAATGAAGCTCTTGACGACAGAAATAGCCTTTATATAGAACTACAAACTATACGTCACAAATTATCGACCAATAACATTATCAGCTTTTATACACTTCGCGGAGAAGATGTTCTTGGTGGAGCTTAATGGATGGCCTTTGCGAAGGGTTGATACTATGTTATTGAATAATTCCCAGCATTTCCTACCGGGAGTGCATAGAAAAAATACACACAGTGGGATATAGAAATGGGTTGGTAGTAACAACCTTTGCAGGTGTTCTTAACGAATTGAATACCTCCGCGAAGCAATTTTAGTCTGCGAAGCAAGTTTTCCGCGAAGCACGTTTTTACTCGAAGTGTTTAAAAGCTGATAATATTATCGGTCGAGAATTTGTAAAGTGTTTAAATCAGTATAAAAACTATACCCGTCGAGGAGACATTTAGAAGTCAACTATACGAACTACAGCATTGTACCTGTAGTAAAACTGACAGGCCCGATGTCAGAATTGATGGTTTATGGTGTTTAGCTGCAGTAATGGAATTGGTCGGATGTCAATTTTATTAGGGACAATTTTGGTTAGGTCGATATAATGAAAAGGCATAAGGCGGAAATAATTATTCATGGTTCCGTTTTCATAAAGTCATATGGATAGGGTGGTAGGTAGGATAAAAATTTTATTTTTTAAAAAGATTTTATATGGTAAGATTATCATTATATAATATAATACACGGAATACATCCTACTTGGATGGGATAAATTTATGTTTTAAGGTTTGTATTTACTTCAGACTGTTTTGACTGTTCAATTTTACATGTGAAGAGTATGAGTCTGTGTTTTAAATATTGGCATGAAATCTGTCACCGCCTTTTCAAATAGATCGTCTGCTAGGACAGTCCATGTCCGTGTGGTTTACCACACTCTGACGTCTCTACAGTAGGCAAAAAACACCCAGAGAAGCATGTAACCGATCATAAATCGAGTGCGGAGTGTCACTTTCGGTAGCACATATCATGCTCCATCATGTTCAATAGACAACATTGACCAACCATGTTTATAAAGAGACATCAACATAATTTAACATCGTCATGTTCTTGACAATGAATTATTTTGTTACAATGTATATTTTGTATGATGACCATGCATATTATTATTGTCTTTATCCTGCTAATACTATTATGTTGTTCGACTATCTTGATAATGACATGGATTCCATGCTAAACTGGGTATTACTTTTGATCATTTCAGAAACCTGTAAGAAAAGGACAGACCATATCACTAGAAGCATTGGAATCTGATTAAATGAATATGTTGAAAATACCTTGATTTTAGTCCTGTCATTACTGTATTTTTGGTTGCTAAATAAGTTATTAAAATGATTGTAAATAGGTTTTTTAGATTTTGTATGTGTATCGAGGACACTGCTAGATTCAACTTGTTTAAAAAAGTTTTTTTTGACAAAAACGTTTTTCATAAAACCTTATTACAACGTTTTCTGAATGTTCCAAAATAACGTTTCTTAAAAATGTTTTTGAAACATTTATAGGAGTCTACAAATTTAGGTTTTTAAAACGTTTTTAAAACGTTGAATTGTTTGCTGGCGATTGTCTCATGTAAAGAAGTTGAAAATGAACTTGAACTTGCAACGGTACCTTGATCTAACCTCCGGCTTAGGTAATTTTTTCTAATCTACAAACTTTGCGAAAGACCAACGGCACCTAATCGCCTAAACTTAAGTTTACTTAACGTTTGGTTATTGCTATAAAAAGAAAGATATTCTTAGTAATTTACTGGTGCGTTCAGCTTTGACCCCATTCACCCTCTGAAACAATTGCTGAAAATTTATTTTCTAACGTAAACATTATATTATTTCAGTCTTTACAGAACATATATTATCTTTTCTTTGAACACGGTAAATATAAATTGTATTGAGTTTAGATAGTAGCCTCCCTTTAACTTAATTATTCGATTTCATATTTCTCAGTAGACCCATACACACTCATTTTAAAGTTGTCTACAAATTCGAGTTTTTATTTTTACCTCCTTGATATTTCCGAATCGCCTTCACAATGAAACCTTGGTAACTTATAGGTAACTTTTGTCCTCGTGTGTAATTGATCAAAAGAGTCATTCTTCAATTCAATTCTATACTAATTACTATTGAATTCGAACTACTCGTAAAGAGTATTTGGTTAAGGGACAGGCTATGTGCAACCTTCTGGGTATATCCCGGCGACGACGTGGTGTTCTGCTGCAAGGTTTGTCTCTGCATCCCTTTTGGGAGGTCCACAGATATAACTTTTCTTTGTGAATTGCGATGGTTTTTAAACATTCAAAATTTCACATTTTCCCTTTTTATATTTGTAACAAGTCATTCAAATCAAATAAAATATAGGTATGAACTCGAAGTCATTCGATACAATTTAAAATCTAGTAAAAAAAAGGTTTCTGACTAGATGACAGTTTTGTGAGATTGGAGTTGGTTAAAACCATACATTTAGATACCCATCATATTAACATTGTCTGGGTATTACGAACTGCGTCTCATACCTTAAACGCAATACCTAACTCATTTGTATTACGGAAGGTTGTAATTTGGTTGAATTGTACGCTAGCAAATGCAGCCAATCAGAGTCTTCGAGAGATAATGTTCACGGTCTTTATGTCGATGTTTGTATTCGCGGGTGTACGATCCAATCCAATCGCTGCATTCGGTGATACAAGAAGAGTGGTTATTGCAGTCAAGGTATAAGACGAATTTTGCAATAGCTTGGCATTGTGAAAATGGATATCCACACGTGTAATATAGTTCTATATTTACTGCACAGTTGTTTCAAGAATTACTAGTGCAGTTTGGTATGGGAAAATAAACCTATAGGTCTTTTGTATACCTTATATCTCCACCTCCGTGGGTAAAGTAGATTTTCAGACATGATATGAGAAAAAAAATGGCTTTGGTGAAAATTTCTCTCGTATAACTTATTACATGTTATATTGGCTGGAAACAAACATTCTGGTTCGTGTTTCATTTTACATAATCATTAGTGTTAAGTTCACGGGCATGCTATGTTAAATAATTGGTGTAATAAATGGAGGTTAGTCGTGAATGAGTCTAAAACAAAAATTGTACATTTTAGAAACCCTGGTATAGTTAGAAGTAACTTTAAGTTCCATAGTGGTGAATTAAATGTTAAATACGCAGATGCATATAAATACCTAGGCCTGTGGGTGAACGAATTCTGTGACTATTCATACAGCGCTAAAGAGTTATCAAAATCGGCTAATAGGGCTTTGGCTGTGATTAAAACTAAATCGATACAGTTTGGTGGATTTAGCTACAATGTTTACACAAAATTATATGACTCGCTTGTCAGGCCTGTATTTACTTATGCATCTGGTATTTGGGGTATTAATACACATAACTGTATTAATGCGCTGCATAGTAACGCATGCAAATTCTTCCTTGGTTTGAGCAAAAGAAGTAGTAATTTGGCAGCAATGGGGGACATGGGATGGCTGAAGGGTGATAATTTAGTTAAGATTGAATTGTTTAGATATTGGAATAGACTTAAACTCAACGATAATATTCTTTGTAAAACTGTACATAAATGGGCCAGTAGACGTAAGTCTTCCTGGGATCACCGAGTATTAAGTATCGGTCGAGAACTACATGTATTAAATGATCAAAGTGACACTGTATGTATTGATGATGTGTGGGATAGTCTATGGGAAAGGGAAGTGGGTCAGTGGTCAAGGGGTGTATGGAATGACATGTTAATGGAAACAAACTCCGGTCATACCGCATCTACAAAACTGAATTCGGAACAGAACCGTATGTCAAAATTATTAAAAATAGAGCTCACAGACGCGTGTTGTCCAAACTTAGAGCGGGTTCACTACCTTTGATAATTGAAACTGGAAGATTTGTTAGACCCCCCGAACCTCTCTGCTTAAGGAAGTGTCTTTTATGTGATAATGGGGAAATTGAAAATGAGGAGCATTTTATTTTTAACTGTAAATTATACACTGATATAAGAAATGTTTTATGTACCGAAGCCTGTTTTATTAATCCAGATTTTTTATTTTATAATAATGTAAATAAATTGTGTTTTTTAATGACAAACGAACGAATTTTACCATATTTTGCTGCATGTATTTTTAAAATGTTTGAACGTAGAAAACAGACTGTGAGCCTGAGCCTTCTTATTTATCATAATGTTTATTTTACTTATTTGTGTTTTACCTGTCTCATTGAATGTAGTTTTATGATATAATTCTAAGGTGTCTCATAAGTCGAAGCCGACTGGCGTCCATTTTATAATGCTGTAATTATTTTATTGTTGTTTTTCTCTGTATATATGGACGGTGACACTTAAATAAATAAATTATTATTATTATTATTATTATTATTGTTAAACTCTTCAAGCCAAAACTATAAACTTCCTCAAATACTATAGACTGTTTGTTTAATATTTTTGATCTACTTGAATATTTCAAACTGCATGATAACGTGTAGATAAATTTATGTCCCTAACCTTTTAGAAAGTTTCAACTTTAAGTATTCTGTCGTATTCTGAGAAATGTGTTTTGATTTGATAAACGTTCAAAACTGTAAAAAAATTTTGATTTTTAGCTTGACCATGTCTATTTAAGGGGCAACAATCGTCATTTCAAGGGTTTATATGGCCATGAAAATATAAAAAGTCTTCGGAAGTACTAACACTAATTGAAGATAGCTATCCAGGTAAGGTAATATACGTCCACTGGCAGCTTTGATTATAAATAAAATATTTGGCAGAGCAGCACGATCAACATTATGCATATCCACTCTTCGGTCGTATACTTCTTTTTAACTTTTTGGTCTGATAATGTAGATTGTTTACGAGCTAAAGAACGAACTTTCAGGAACAAAGTCGATAATTCATATTAAATATTCATTTTAATTTTTCTGATTTTCTTTCATCTTCGGGTGATTACAAACACTTATACCAAGTTCCTTCAAAATATCTGACTTTTCTGATTTTGAATTTCCGATAGGCTCTTCATATTAATACTTGTTATTTTATTGTAGGTACATGAAAAGATTTTGTTTCATTTTGTTTTTATCTTTAGATGATTATTGAATTATATTTTCAGCTATTTCAGTTGAAGATATGATACTACTACAGATAGCATTACAGAGATATCCATAGTGGACATGTCTAATTATCTTTACTTTTATCATAAATCTTTACTTTGTGACCTAGGCCAGTGCTTTTTATGTTCTCATCACCAACTAACACAACCCCTTCACTTATACCTTAAACTAGAAAATTTCACTTTCTATAAATACCATTACTAGTTTTGCTCTGCCCGAATTCTGATTTTTTATATGAAATATGTGTGCGCATGATCTGGCAAAATTAGCCTTACAACTAAATCAATGTGATGTAAAATTGTAAAGTTCATCTTACCTCGAGCTAAATGACAGCCAAAGTTATTAAAAAAATCTATTTGAGAATTTTTCATCTGCATAGCGTAGTGTCTGGCACAGGTGAGTCGTCAATTGAACTTTTAAAAGCGGTTGAAAACGGATAAAAAAAGCTCAAATTTCGATTAGCTCAGCTAAAAAAATCCAGTTCTTGAGACAAATGTACCATTGATCGAATAGATGTGTATATGGTGTACGTGTCAATGGCCCAGCTATGACAAGTTTGCATTGAAGCATCCAAGACCGTCATATGCTTCAATTGACCTTAAAACATTAGATAATTTTCAAATTTCGTCATTTCGCGATAACCCGAGAATTATGTTCAATGATTTGATCATAAATCACTTGATCATTTCCGGAGATTAGAACTTTTACAAACAACACTCCCTATAATTACATCCCTATTAGACTCAGCTATTTATAGTTTTATGAAATTTTGAAGGGTCAACAATGTAGCCTATGGGCCGTGTGCAGTGGTCGTACTTTGACTAAAGTTTGACTTTATAAAGTAAAGATAATATGGGACTTAATCATAACTTTATTTGGTATACACGGCTTCTTCTATGGTTGAACAAAGTATTGGTTTTGTACCAAAAGTGTGATAGACCGGTGTTGCACTTGATACTTTTTCCGGATTAGAGAAAAACCACACATGTATTAAATATTAAACATTAAACACCTGTTTTTAGTGGAATTGCAGATTAATCCTATCAGTGTCCCGGATACACATAAAAATGTAGAAAACCTCTTTTTAGCCCATTTTACTGAAATAACTGAAGTGACCCAGACGCATACCAGCTTAGTTATAAAAAGTTGTAACGCAGATGGAATATGTATCATAATCTGCCTTTGAAAATCTATGCCTATCCAAAATTTAATTTGGTATCATTTATATCCTCTAATGAATTAGAAATGTTTTGAACAATTATGTGAGTAAGTGCTTCTTGGTGAAAGTCTATTTAACGGTGAATAATTCTCAAATTAGTGTATAAAACCAGTAAAGTTTAGCTATAGTCACTTACTGAGGTAACTTTACCACAGCTTTCATTTTATACGTTTATACGAAAGTTAAGCATGACTTTCGTAAAGTTTTATCGCTGGATACTTAAAGTTCGACTTAAGTCCAACTTAAGTCAAAGCATGGGTTAAGTACGAACGCTCGAACCTTTCCACAGACTAACATTTATGTTTAGTCATATTAGTCCTGTGCAATTAACTGAATTCATGCTTCTAAAGGTATGTTTCTGTAAGCTCCATACTCTACTATCGCAGGTCTTCATTTCCTATGTAAGGTCACTACAGAGTAATATAGTTGTATATAGTGGATGTAAAAAGTACATCATAATTAAAAAAATTATAAGAAATACCGAATTCCTGGGTTTTTTTTTTATAAAATTATTAATAACAAAAAACACAATGCTAAATATAGGGTATCCTAAATTCTTAAGGAGAGAGATTGGATGTGATTTTTATTACATTTCGTTGTGCAATTACACTGTCTCTTATCTTCAATCTTGCCCAGCCTCTTTCTATCATCATAACAGACCACGTGGACGTACTAGACTTTCCACGTTTTCATTTTAAGGCTCTGTTTACCCAGAAATCTAAATTTTCCTTCTTACGAATATATAAGTACACCCTTGTCTTTTTAAAATCATATTTAACAAAACCTTCGACGAAAGCAGAAAGCTTTAACAGTAAGTTAACTTTAATAGCTGATAGCGACGTCTTGCTGAACATAAATTGTTTTACACGCCAGCAATAGCCTATGTGGCTATGCATCCAGATTTCTTTTCAAGCAACGAAACGTTATAAGGCTGACGACGAAAACAAAATTATGTAACAAATATCATAAACGAATATTTTGATTTTCAGATGAATTAGTTTACTTCTTCAATTTAATATGAAATTCGAAACAGAAATGGTTCTAGCATATTATTTGAAATATCTGGTTAAATGGGAACTTGCTGTGCATGTAATATAATACTTTATATTGATAATCTACTTTTTTGATATTAAATGAATGGTTCGATCAATAAGAAACAGTGGTATTTTAACAGATTAGTTAATTACCGGTAAATAAATCTTTTAATTTTCTTGTTAAGTCCCAATTAAACTTATCAGATTAAATAAATTCGATTTGTTTAAACATGCTGAGAGCAAAGAAGAGCGAGGTTTCGGTATCCGTTATATATTAGTGGGTGTTCTAGCTCTGCTTTGGGATATTTTTAGGGGGGTCTCACAATCCGATTTTAAACACTGCCGCTCCTGGATGTCCTATCAGATCGACCAAGAACCTTATAGTCTGCTAGCCATGATTAAGGCTATAGTGCTTTTGGAGAACACTATTCTCATCTCTCTCTCTCTATTGTACGGTCACTATGCTTTCTGCATCGCATTTTGGCCAATTTTATGTGAATCGAAACATCTGCTCTGAAGTAGTTCTGAAATTCTTATCTTTGAGTTGACGTAAACCTCTATCATAAAATAATTTGACTTTATAGACAGGGATTTTCACTTCAGAATATGGGTAGGATTGGGTCGATATTTCAAATGTAGACTAAACAAATATTATATTAACATGCAATTAAAAATTTCACTTTAAAACTTTGAACTTTATGGGAAATGAGAGATAAAAATCATTTCAGAAAGTACCTCCCTTCTGTAAAATCCACAATACAATTTGAGGATATATCCTAGTAATATTGCACTATGATTTACTAAAACTTAAAAAGTCACGACAAATCAATCTTTCGTCAATTAGATTTGTGAAAATTTGAAAACCACAATCACTTATCGGGCATTTTTCTAAACTTTCTAGTAAGTAAAATTGCTGTCAACTTCTTAATTTTAAATTTGTCAGGAGTTGGGCAGAGATAAGAAAACCATTAGTTGTAGAATGGAATCCTACAATTTTAACTCCAAGATATTTCTTACAAGCAGTGAGGTGAGAAATTCTTATGAAATCTGGAATGTTCTTTTCTTAACAAATATAGCTATATTTGAAAATAAACATGCAGGAACTCATCTGGAAATCTATATATGTATAATTAAATATGATATCAATTTATAAAAGATTTAATTTACATATCTTCATTATTTATTCATCGGTCTAGTAATTTTTAAAGAGTCAAAATTGATCTTGTAAACATTTTATATCAATCTAATATGATATATATATAATCATAATGATTAATTAATGTGCAGTTTTATTGTTATATTTAACGCTGCATTAGGTAAATGACATCAAGTGGTAAATTTCTTAAAACGTTACACAGGAAGCTAAATATCAAATAATTAATTTTGACATTTTTTGAAATATAAAATGATATACTATTGAGATATGGTCGAAAATTAAATGATATTCAGGTATAAAAGATGATGATTATATAGATTAAAACCAGAAAGATTAGATTATACTTGGTAATTAAGACATTAACAGTGTAATAATGAGCTCCGTCAGACTTGAGGCCTAATTAAAACAATTGACAGACTTTAAGCTCTGATACACACTAACGGTAAATTTCATTGATTTCTGTCACGTGCGTACTCGTTACTATGGCGACCAGCAAATAGTCGACTGCAGTTCTTGGAAGTGAAAACGTTTTGTGATTCCATATAAAATAGACAAGCTTATACTTTTGTCTCGAACTGAATTTATTGTATTCGTTAACTGAACAATTACATCAGTATACACGTTTTAAAAAAGTGTAAAGCTATTTATAGCTCAGTATTCATAACAAAGTGAAAGTAATGTAAAATGTAAAACGTCAGTGAGAAGGAAATAATGTGTTCAGTTGAAAGCTTACTTGGAATAACTGTAACAGAAGGTATTGTTGTCTCTATTTCGTTTTATGTCATTCTGTGACATTGTTATTTTTTAACAATGGCTTTATGGAAACTTCCAAGACGATTTGGTGACTTTTCTGACTTAAAATTTACACAAATCCATGTTTCTTTTTTTGAATTAAAGTTTTACTAATTGATAAATCGAAACATTATAGCCAAACCAATTAAAGAAATTACTTCACCGGTTTTCTTTGACAAAATGTATCATGCGAGTTAATATAAGCTGTCATCGATTTTTTTGAATATAGATAAAGCAAGAGTTTCCTTGTAAGAGAAGTTACAAATTGATGCTCCACAACAAACTCTTTCACATTGCATACAAGATTGTGGTGATTTGTTATCATTTTTGAATTTGTTCTCTTTCAGATTTTTTTTTATACTTTCAAGTAATTACGATGCCTTCTATATCACATACAACCGTCAACTCGTATCCTGGACGTCGTGGTCACTCTTATTGGATAAGTTTTGATTTTAATCGTAAATATTGTGGAAAACGTTTAAATGGGTATAAAGGAAAATTTAATGGTCCGGGACCTCGCCAAGGAGAGTTTGCTTTCGTGAAAATCCCAAAGATTCTCGATGAAAGTGAAAAATGGTGCGACATGGAAATATCCAAGAATAGAAAAGCAAACGAACTGTCCAACAGTTTTTTAAGTTACCTTAGAATAGATTCACACCGAATAGATTTTACAGATTCCTGGAAGGCTTTAATGGATGATATTTCGTGTCTATCTAAAGACATTCGCCCCAAAGATTGGGTGTTAATTGAAGAACGGATTGGAAAAGACTGTTTTGAGTTTATCAATCAGATTGGAAGGAGCGATTTTGGAGGATGTGAACTTTTGGAAGCATTCGTTCATTGGTCAAACTCTGTCACTAATGGTAGACTGGTTATTTGTAACCTTGATGGAATCCAAGAAGATAATGGTGCCTTTAGATTGAAAACACCAACAATTCACTCAGTTGATGAATCGTATGGTGAAAGTGATTTTGGTGAAATGGGCGTCACAAAAGTATTAAAGAGTCACCAGTGCAACCCCATATGTTCTGATTGGAGGCTACCATCAACTCATTATAATGATGAAACTATATTAAAAAGCAACATTGAACCATCAGCACCATATCTACCACAATACGATTGGATGCCATTTAACAACAATTTACCACCATCTTATGAGGATTGTTTGAAACACCCTTCTTAGTGATAACTCTCGACTGTCTTAACTATAATATGATGCTCCCTAGCATTGATGTCACAGAGTGCTGCTTTACATGTGTTGTGTTCTTATCGCCATTTTTGTTGTTTAAGCTTTGTATGTATTTTCAATGCAGTGTGATTTATACGCATATAACAGGTGCGCTTGGACACGTTTGGTGGAATATTTCATCGGAGTTAAATTTTACGAATGATTGTAACAATATGTGTGAGGGAGATACCAGAATATCCATAGTAACCCTTCAAATAGTCAGTCCGGTCCCGGTGTGGGCTTTCACCCCCTAAAACCTATCCTTGCCCTTGCCTGTGCCAGGCTACATGAATATATCCTTGAAAGGTTTAATTATTTTCGAACTATGTAAACGTCAATACTTTCCTCTTGGTTGGAATAGCTCAGTCGGTAGCGAGTTGGATTGTCCTGTTAGGCGAATAGGTGCCATAGGTTCGAATCCTCCTCGAGGTAAGAATAAATCTGATGCCAGTGCTTCCGAGAGTTGGACCAGTGTTTCATGAAAAGGGGAAAAGTCGAGTTTGAATCAAAATTTGATATAAAGTTTTACAGTATTTAATTATTTTTTTAACTATCTTTTGTTATTGTTTTACATATTTTAAATATTTATTTTATCATTTTCAAGTATCGTTTAAAGTCTAAATATGTGACTCTAAATAATCTCCACCATTCCAACCTACTTTCATAAATCATTCATTGATCAGATTACTGTACAAGGACGATGTTATGATTAATCCATTTAATTAATGCATTTCCTTCAATAGAATGTATCACTATAGCGACTAATTTTGTATTGCTTAAAGTTACATGTCAGACTATTCCAAATACATTGCTATAATGTCAATTGAATATATCACTATAGCGACTGATAATTCAATAATACAGGACTACAATATATAATAGTCCTGTGACAAATATTAATTTAACCCAACGCAATACGATATTTTAGATTGGTAAGGTTTATTTATATCTATCAGGAATTTCAAAATTTTGTTTCGCAAGATGCATGACGTCTGTAGAGAATCTTAATTAAAAGGATCTATATCATATTTGGATATACATATCAATGGAAATTTTTTTTTTATAAATTTGAAGATACGTTTCTATAAATAAACATAATTTTCCATGTCATATAGGTCAGAATGACGTCATGACATACATATTTGAATATACCTGAATATTTGTTGAGCATGTTTATTATTATCTAGTCAATACCTACTTAAGAATCATTAACACTAGTTAGTTCGTTTCACGTTTTAAGATATATTTAACAATTTGTATTTCATTTTAACTGTCTCATATGTTGTTATTGTTTACCCGTCGTTGTGAAAACGAGTGTATGGCGGTCATTAATGGCTATTGTTGTGTTCGACTACTTAAAAATGATACAGACATATTATAGTCCTGTATACCCACTTACATAGCCATCCGACATAGATCTGATGTCAAGTTTATCACATAGAAAAGCCGCTTATATTCTAAACCTATATAAAATATCAATATATGTACAAATCTTTATCAAATGTACATCTTGCTCAGAGAAAAATAATCTCGCAGTAAAGAAAAAAAAAACTACACAAAAATGCTTATATCTTGTTTTATGACATATAGTCTATAAGAAATTCCAAGCATTGTAGCATGTTTCCACGTTCTTATTTCTTTAAGAAGAGCATACGCAGCCTACCCCCGCTAGTTCATCCAAAGATAAGCGTCAGTTTTATTTTTTCCCCCATCTTTATTTTTTATATTCTTTTATATTCTTTCAACTATTTAATATACATTATTACGTATTTTTATCATTACAACTTTATTTATAAGATTATTATTTCTCTTTAACGTCTGTTATTGATGACCACAATGCTGTATATTTATTGCACGAGTCATACTATTCTACCTTCTAAGTTTTCAATATGTGTTTTTCGCACAAAATGTTTAATAAATTGAATTTGACACTCTTTGTTTTTGCTACAGTATTTATTTTCAAACTAGCAAACTGTTTGTAAGGGCTATCTGAAATTTTCCTATATTATAGGACTATTTACTTTTGTGATAATGACCTACTTAGGAATTGAACCTGAAAACAATCGAGTTACTTCCCTTAAGATGAACAAAGTGCTCCTTGTTTTGTTTTAATAATACCTTACAATTTTATTAACTTGCTATTTGTTGTTTTTCATCGATGATTATAAATTAACGGAATTTTATTATGTTTTAAAATGTTATCAGTACCATTATGATTACTTTTTCATTAGAGTCTAATTAGACCAAATTTTCATTCCGGCTTTTTATTAGCTTTTATTTTAAGTTAGCCACTTCAGTTTTTCATTGAAGCGTTTTGTAAAATTATGATGTCTTTTAGTCCCATTATTTAGCAGCAAGATCGCCTTTGTACTTCAATCTAGTTGAAAGTATTTTACTTTATAGACAAGGCTGGAGACGGGGCGATTTTACCGAATTTTTTTCTAGTCGGACACTCGGTAATCCTGGAATTCCTTTCTCTGATGACAGTGCTATCATGTGTAAAATCAGTGATCACTTCATCTTGCCAACAACGACGATCATAAGCAGAAGGATCTACTTTTAACATATCATGTAATGAATTTAAGAAGTGATTATTGTTACGACAGCCGTGCACTAAAGGTGCGGGCACACGAATGATTTTTTCGCCGACTATAGTCTAGCCATGACCTTCACAGACCCTCTGCGGGCACTCAAGGATACAAAAAATCTTCAATCGGTCGTTTTCCAGTTTGTCGATAATCATGTGCGGATCATGCAATTGAAAGGGACATGAATCTGATTCGTTAATGACGCTCTATCAAACTTATTTGATATTATAAATCATGTCAGCCACGCGTTAATCTTGTCGTGCAACACCCAAGAATTGAGTCGGCGAGAACAATCAGCGACCGAGACTTTTCGTGTGCCTTAAGCTACGGCAGGACTTTTGAGCATGCGCCGAAAACGCTCTTTCCGGCTGAGTGAGGCGATCAATGCAATTTTAAGCGACAGGAATGCCATTTAATTTTTAAAAAAGTATGGATTATCATATTTTTTTGTTGACTATATTGTTGATATTAGTAACAACAGAAAAAATATTTAAAATACAGCTTCCGTAAAAATATCCTGTGCCATAAATTTACACCTTTTTCCAATTATAGGTGAAGGGAAACCCCAAGAAGTTTATGGAGCACTGAGTAATATAGAAACCACGTACAAACTTGGCGGTTTAAATGGGACCTAGATCATAAAATATGAAAATGGCAATGGAAATCAATATCCAGTAGAGTAGCGTCCCTCTAATTAATATTCGTAAGAACTTCGCAGTCCTACAGTTTTATATATCGACAAACTACTCATTAACCTCGTATTGTGCATAATACTCGGTGGTTCTAATAGCTAAATTTACCGGATATGAGAGAATTTTAATTGTATATCACTAGCTTTCACCGTATATCAGAAACAGTAGCTTTAATCGTATATCAGAAACACTAGCTTGAATCGTATATAAGAAACACTAGCTTTAATCGTATATCAAACACACTAGCTTGAATAGTATATCAGGAACACTAAGTATTTAACCGTATATCAGAATCACAAGCTTTAATCTTATATCAGTAACACATTAACTGATCGACATCTATAAGAAAATCTATTAGAGGAAAAATCAAGCAGTTTTGGATTGCATGGTCCTGACCAGAAGAAAATTCTATCTATATTTCATTTAAATTCTTGAAGCTGATTTCATGAAATGCCACATATATGAAACGCAATAATATGGCGACCGACTAAATCGGAGGGATTAACGCAGTGTGAAGTTCAAGGGAAAATTAGCATCGTCTTTCAAGCCCTATATTTTGGAAACGCTGTGACTCAGTAGTGCCATATTTTTCAGCTTATACCTTAGTATACAAATGGATGATAACTTCGCGGAATCTAAAGTTTGAAAAACACAAGATTATAGATTAAAAGGGATGCAACTCTCCACAACATAGCAAGTCAGTAGATAATCAACGTGAATTGATAACATTTACACAAACAAAAGTTACCTTGTCAAATAAAACATTATCAGTTTAGCTGTATTGTGCGTAACATCTACTGAAGAGAAAATTAAGCTATCAACAATGAACATACTTCATCAGTACAAATCAGCAGTGAAATACTATCTTAGTTTACGGACAGAATTTGCCAATATTAGCAATGGATATATTATACTAGTATTTTCAAAATAAAAAAAACGGAAAAATATTTGAAATTAAAGAACGTCTCACGTGTACGGATAAAAATATCATTTACCTAATTTCGAGTGAAAAATGTGACAAACAATACGTCGGCGAAACCCAGAACGCGTTGCGAACTCGATTTAGCGGCCATCGCTTTGATATAATTCATAGCAAAAATAGACCAATTTCTCATCATTTTAATTTACCTGACCATTCCATTGAAGACCTTCTTATCATGCCTATTGAATCAATTCCTGACTCTGATCTTATCAAACCAAAAACCAAACGATTACAGAGAGAAAGCTACTGGATGGACCAACTCCAAACAGTGGCTCCAAATGGACTTAACATCCAGCATGATAATCAAATGATTCCATTTGTTGTCACCTTTAATCATACAGCTGCCAAAACCTCATCCATCGTCAAACAGTATTACAGTGAATTACAGAACAGATTTCCGAATGTATATACCAAACGACTTTTAATTGCCTATAAGCGCAATAAAAACCTTAGTAATTTTCTGGTCCGTGGTAGACTCGATCCCATTGAATCCAATAATACTTGACCCCCTCTCTATTTTCTAGCTCATTAAGTATAATATATTCTAATCCTTATATATAGATGTTTATCTTTTCAGAATCTATTCATACTCTTTTCTTTTAGAACTGGTAACAAGAAATCTTTCCTATTATAGACTTTTGTTTATTGTAGATTACTCGTGGTTGTTTTTTAACTTAATACTAACTATGCTAACTTCACCTTATCTTGTATTGAACATTTATCTCTTTATTTGTGACCTTGGCCAGTGCTTTACATAGAAGTTTTTAGGAACTTCTTCACTCTTAACACTAGTAATAATAACTTCAGTTGTAAAAGACTAGTGAAAAGGCCAAATTTTATCTGTCAACCTTTATCTGACCACATGGAAGAACTAAAAAATTAACAATGAAAACTCAGCTGACAACATCAGTGGTGAACAGTATGCATTAAGCTCAGACAATACAATTTACATTGATTCTGACAACATCAACAGTGCACTTTTGACACGAGAACTGAAAAATTAACAATGAAAAGATTACACCAAAGCGCTGACAACACCAGTATTGAACAGGTTAAAACATCAAAGGGGAGCAGTTTACATTAGTACTGATAACACCAAAGGTGAACAGTTTACATTTGTACTGACAGCATCAGAAAAGAAACATACTGCAGTTGGTGACAGGATCAGTGAACATACTACATTATCCTCAACCATCAGTGAACAGCAACAATATCCCCAGTGTTCCATCAGTGAACAGACAATATAATCCCCATCCATCAGTGAACAGACAACATTATCATCAATCATCAGTGAGCAGAATACACTATCCTCAACCATCAGTGGGTAGATAACATAATCCTCAACCATCAGTGAACAGACAACATTATCATCATCATCGGTGAGCAGACTACATTATCCTCACCCATCAGTGAGCAAACTGCATTATTCTCAAGCATCAATGAGCAGACAACGCTATCCTAAACCATCGGTGAGCAGACAATATAATCCTCAACCATCAGTGAACAGACAACATAATCCTCAACCATCAGCGAACAGACAACCTTATCTTCAACAATAATTGAGCGGATAACTTTATCCTCGAACATCAGTGAGTGAACTACATTATCCTCAGCTATCAGTGAACGGACAATATCATCCTCAACCATCAGAGATCAGACATCATTATCCTCGAACATCAGTGAGCAGACTGTAATATCCTCAACCATCAGTGAGCAGACAACATTATCCTGAGGATCATCAACCATGAGTGAACAGACTACATTATGCTCAACCATCAGTGAGCATACTGCGTTATCCTCAACCATCACTGAGCGTACTGTGTTATCCACAACCATTTCTGACCAGACTACATTAACCTCAACCATCTGTGAGCAGACAATACTATCTGCAACCATCTGTGGGCAGACAACATTATTCTCAACCATCTGTGAGAAGATAACATTATATTCAACCATCGGTGATGAAGACGTATCTTGCATCTAAATCAACGACCTTATGCCCTCCTACCACAAGCTACACGTCTCAATCATTCAGTCCATGATTATAAATTCTCCTCATGGTCAATTTTATTTCAGTAATCATTAGAATGGTGAGTCAGTCGTATAAAAAATGTCCAGAATTAAAAACTTGTAAAATGATCAACATTTCATTGGGACTTGATTACAAAAATCGATCAAAATGATTTCGTCAAATCGTTTGCAGACAATGGAAACCTCGTACTGATTATCAAACATGTCACTTCTTCGTTGAATAACAAGTAGCCTAACCCAACTGCCGTGACGCAATAGATCTGCAAAAAGCTCAACACGCGTCAGTATTAGCATCCTTCGATAGTCTCGTTCATCTCGAATATTTTACTACACGCATATATGTACATAATTAATTTCACGCCTTGTTGTTCGCGCATTATATCGTTCATTTCCGCTTTTTGTTTTCTGTCGTCTGCTTTTATCAACTTTGACCGGTGAGCGATGACATCACAGCCCTTTATCTATCACCTGTCCTGTTTAACTTGATAAACAGACAACTTGACAGTAAGGGTAAGGGCTCATCAGCGAGAAGACTGTTGATGAATTTCAATACTGTGTGATATGATATGTTTATATTTTCAATTCGTATTAACTGAAAAGGAATGAATGATATAAGGATTAGTTAAAAGATTGATACACTATAAGGAAATCGAGAAGCTGACAGAATGACTGAACGACGTCGATTTCGTAGAGATCGAAGTGAAATTAATATCTGTATTAAATACATTCTCTTTTTTGAAAATTTTCTTGCATGGGTAAGTAATTTGTTTTATGTACATTTAAAGTTGTTTAAAGCAAAATGTTGTTTTGTCAATCTGGGATATAATTTAGTGAACCCAACTACTTTGTTTGCATGAACACTGGCAACCATTATGTAACTTTAAACAGTTAAACTTATAACCAATTGTTATATGTATATTCAGGGTGATTATATCAGTTAAGTCTACATGCAATTTTTTGGCCCATTACAATTGTAGTAGTTGGGTTTTGAATAGACAATCACAAAGAGGCTAATTTATTGACAAAAGCAATCTATCTATAATTAATTTAAAACGAGTCTATGAATAAGAAAGAGTTTAAGAATATAAACAGGTGGTTTGATAGACGTTACATTTGTAAAGAAAAAGACAAATCAATAATATAATGTGTTAATAATGACTATTTCCTAGAACTATACCATGATATAATCTATTACTCATACTTTATACAGAGATTCTCTACTTATTTAAAACATGATTCCCTGGTGTCCAACGTTATCAAAGATTCTTTCAATATTGTCATTGATAATAAACAAGCCTATCCCGGCATATAGTTTTCTACACAGTAAGAAAATGCATTGAATTATGCTATGAGTAGCAGTGATATGAGTCACTTAGTGCCTTGATTAGCATAAATATAAAATACAAATTGTTGAAATAGGCCAAGCTGAAGATAACCACCCTTATCTATGTGAATCATATTTCAAATAGTAACAGTAGACACCGTTAGTATATAGGTATAGGTATAAACATACTTAGATGCTCAGCAAGCTGCATATTTCCATTACTTTATTTAGAATAACCGTTAGGTTAGGGTACCATGATAAATTAGTATACTTGCTGGCTCTTTTATCTTGACCAGTATCAATTGACAATCAAATTTAACAAGAGTATCTGGGAAAACATGACATACTTTTAAAGGCTTTTGGTGTGCTTTATAATCTATATTGAAGTTGCAAACAACAAGGCGAATGAAAGGGCACGGGGTATTATTTCTAAACAATGGTTTGTAATCGTAAAAAATTTGAATCGTTGTCCCATATAGCCCCTAGTCATGGTTAAGACCAAGATATTAAGGTTGCTAAAACACGATAAATGAAATTGACACCCATGATAAAAGATATGATATCGTTAAATTATATAACAACCAATACTTGATAGACAATACTGTACAATATACACAGATATACGTACTTTTGTTTACGGATATATTGGCGTGTAGATGCATATTTATAAACTTGACCTGTATAACAAATAACAAGAATCAAATTTCGTAAACAAGCAAACTTAACGATAAGATGATGTGGGGAGGGGCGATAAGAGTGAGGTAACGAGCTTCCTCATACCCTTGATGCCCGAGGACCTGCTACATTTTTTTATTTGAAATATTCAACTGACATAAAAATATGAATTGAAAAACCAATGTCACTTCATCTAGATAGATAAGATAACTTTTTGTCACCTTTTGATAGAATAACATCACGAAGGCTTGGAAGGAGAAACGAGAAGTTGTGACCTTTACAATAAAAAAGAACATGCATAATGATATCTTTGGACTCCTTTCCTTTGTTTCTCATTGTCGAACGCTGTTTAGAAGAAAATGTGTCAGTGAAAGAAGAGCCATATAAATCGATATTGTTTTTACTGGGTGACAAAATGATAAAGTTCTATTCATGATAATAATTAGTCATCCTAGACAATGATTGATAAGTTAATTATCTCTAAGAATAAACATCTTATCACGATCTGAAGAAGCAAGGATTCAGACTACTAAAAAAGGCGTTGTCGCTTTCTACAATCTCTACAACTTAAAGGAGTGTACACCCAACTACCAAATAAACACACACCTAAATTACCCTGCTGGTAGCTGGTAGTGGTTTGGGGAGATTATATTGGGCAATGAATAAAACCTTGTTTTACAAAGCAAGAGTCTGAATTGCAAATATGATAGTGTTTAATCAAGTGACACCACCAATAGACTGTAAGTTCGGATACAGATCATAACATTTTTCTTCCATCTAATTTGATTACATTTATGTGCTTTTATATTCTCGTTTCACTTAAATACTTCTCTCTAACTACTGAATTGAATTTGGTATGTTGGTATGAATTAACACTAAAATACTAATGAGAGTTTGAGATTGTCCTTGGGTTGATGAAAATTTTAACCTCTGTGTGTCTATCTCAAATGTAAAATTAACGAACCTTTATTTTCCTGGACCCCAAGACATTCTGACACAAATTAAATACAGTTGAAAATTTAATTATCAATTTTTATGAAATGAGAGAAAAATTCAAATCAAATCAAATCAATGCAGTCAGACAGTAGAACAGTATTAAATATATCCTAATCATTTTTAACCATAAATCTGGATAAACTTACACCGCAATTGGGTTAACAGTAAGTTTCTCATTCCTATCCAACGACATAAAACACTTTCAATTGCCCTTGCCAGAAAGATTGCATACCACAGATACTCCCTAGCATTTACGCTCAGTCCAGTCTATGATAGTATGAAATTCTCTTTGTTTCCTTATAGAACAGTTTTTAATCATTTTTCTCACACTCTTTTCTTTGTACAACAATGACTTTCAAACTACAGTGGAAATGCTTTTATTAAATTAACGAGTTACTATATATTTTGTCGCTAATATTATGTTAAATAGAAGAAATTATTCGACTGTGGGCGTTATATAACGTGATGAGACAGCAATCTTATTCAGTTTAAAAACTCGGATCATGTTCTCGTATGTTCTCGTTGTTTATGTAGCTTTTCATATGCATAATACCGTTATAAAACTATTATAAAATATGCTACTACTACTGATAGATTAAGACGTATGTAAACTATACAGCATGTTGTATAAAAGTCGACAGTAGCTCAATTCCCCAAAAATTCACTCCTTAAGGAAATTACAGTAATACATAGTACATTGTACTCTTTGAACTCGTAGGTATGAGATTATCTATGATCAATATAGTTATCATTATAATGGATAATAAGATACACGATTGTAAAGAGAGATATATTATATAATACATATGGTCAGTAAGTTCGATCTCTATACATTAATATTATATCTACATTAAAATGATTGACATCTAACAAGTTCTATTATTATCTGTGATGTAGTGACCCTAAACACAATCTTCAATGCTGTAAATTTATGGTTTCAACAATTTTGATTAATGATGTCCGACTCTTTATTTGTTTTTAAATAAACATTACTCCACGTATTATCTGAAAAACGAAAGTAAACAAGAGAAACAGGTTCTAAGTAATAGTCATATTTTCATATTGCAAATTTGAGTACCTGAAAAAAGCGAAATTTAATCTATGATATCATTTTTATTCGTGTTACCTTGGGGAACTCTTTCGAAATTGTACTAGAACATTTGGTTAGATCTCTTATGCATTTTATACGCCCACTTATAAACATTTCTTACACGAAAGGGGCTACACTCCGTATGTATTTTCATGCGAACTTGAGTTCGAACGAACAGGTTTGATTATTTGTCCTTGAATTCCATCATTACTGTACCAACTTGACAAAACGGTTTGTGTATTAATGTGGCTGATGCGATCTCAGATGAGTTTGAAATTGACATGTTTCGATGAACGGTTTTGAGTCTTTGCCCTTTTGCCCGAGAGAATAGCTTGAATTGTCATCTGATTTTAATAAATAGGTGAGATCTCAGACAAGTTGAAAGTTGGTGATTTTTATATCAGGAAAATGAGTATGTTACATTGTTTGACAATCTATCTTTTAACAATGAAGTTACTTATGACTTGAAGTCTAGCTATTGGCTCCATTCAACCGATCAAAATCTACTTTAAGAAATTCGGCTAGAAATTAAACAATAAAGTTCAACTCGGTGATAAGAGATAAATTGTCAAATTAGGGCCTTGACATGGTATAAAGTTTCTTAATATAAGTGGACAAAAGGTCAAATCGTCACAAAACGACTAAAAACTATAAAGATTTATTGTTAAAGTCAGATCGTGTCTCATGAATTTGATATCAAATCATTTTATTGATGGTTAACATATCCTACATTGTAACTTTGATCCTTGAAAGTTTGCACACGATGTTATTTGCTCGAATTACCTTGAGCAAATATTGATTGCCTTTATTATTAATGTTTTACAGTATGGGGTTAAACCATACAAATTGTAGCAATGTAGACCCACATGGTTAATAATCTATATTTGGTATATACCCGAACTACCAATAGGTTGATGACTCAGTTAATGATCAAGATTGACCCAGAGAACATTCTCCCAAAATTTTGTCAACTTTGTTAGCCAAAGAGTATATTGAATAAATAGGTAGCTACGCAGGAAATTATATGGGGTAGCTGTCTCATTCCTATACGACATAGAACAACTTTCAATTGCCCTTGCCAGAAAGATTGCATACCACAGATACTCCCTAGCATTTACGCTCAGTCCAGTCTATGATAGTATGAAATTCTCTTTGTTTCCTTATAGAACAGTTTTTAATTATTATTCTCACACTCTTTTCTTTGTACAACAATGACTTTCAAACTACAGTGGAAATGCTTTTGCTTGGTCCATCATATTTTGGGAATTAATGAGATAAGTTACATCATTACATCTGATGACGACACGTGTATATTGTGTTGAAACGTTATGTGCCCAACCTTTAAAGAAGTGTGTTATATTCCATAATATTGTCTTGTGTTTTTGTTATATGTGCTCCTCGCTTCTATATGTCGTTCAAATCAAGTGTTAAGGCAAAGGAAGAGAGGGATCTCAGATATTGGTTTTATGTCTACCTCAAAAATTGTTTTGGCTTTATAGATTTGATAAGGTATTTCTGTTTTCAGAGCGTTAAGATATTTTGTTTGAATTGAAATTTGAACTATTAAATGTAAAATTTTTTATTTTTAACCAGGAAGAGTGATTTGTCGGTTAGTATTTCATTAGATAATCTGATCTAAAGTCAACAATGATAAAGATATTATTCAGGTCTTTTTCTAAAATATTATCACGATTATAACTTGTTTTAGTCACGTTAAGGGTTGGGTGGGGCGTTGGCTGGTTTTATCTTTGGGGAGTTTAGAGGTTTGCTTTTATAATATATTTTGATCAGCACTAGAGTCTTCAGCGTTAACGATTGGTAAAAACATATCTTGCAATTGAAACCGTTGTTTTTGATATAGAGTCCCCCTTCCTTTGTTCTACATATCGACGAGGGGTTAGGTTACGTGCATTTCGATTTCAACTAAAGCTGTCTTATAGATAATTTAAAGTGAAGGAATAATAAGGAGTTTAAGTTCATAATTTCAGTATTATGCAAGAGGTTTTAAAGAGAATGACAAAATGTTATGGGGGCAACTTTGTCTATTTAAGTCACATTGATTTTAAACAACTAAAACAAGTCATTTGCGTGTATCGTTCCATTTATAAATAACAATCGTGTTTTATGACTTGGAAAGATGAGACTTGACCTATAATTATATCCGCGTTAGAAAGTGATACGGGATTAATCGACATCTGTCATGTTTGTGAATATTTCTATCTGATTATACTAATTCGTTCATGAGACATTGTTTCTTGTCAATTATCTTATGTGATGCTGTATTTTCTCAAAAATAGTTTCAGAAAATTATCGTTACCATGAGCAGGGCAGACACGTTACAGAATGATTCTCAATTGTTTTTTTTTTTTTACCGAAAATGAAATTTGACCTACGTCATGGCGTAGATGCTAAAAAACAAGAAATCGACTCGAGTATTTGTCATTAATGTTATAATTTTTTCCAGCGTGTTGTGATAATCACGACCTTTTCCTCTGGTCGAGGCATGGAATCATAATAATCAAACCTATACAGCACGAACTGCAAGTTCGGTACAAGGTTTTATAGACAAATTCATTTCAAACGCACAACATGAGGTTTTTCACCAGCTAGGATATTAAAATGATGAAATATTCCACCAAACATTTTACAAGACATAAGTTTCACTTTCATTCTTAACATCATAAACTTACGAATACTAATTTTGAGGGACTCGAATTCAGATAGCGAAGATAAATGTCCATGATTTATGTCAAAATTCACCAATGTATTAATGCATTAATACATTGATACGTGGTATAGTTCTATTTTCAAGCAGGGTTATTACCCATTGTAATCAAATGTAATTGTTTTTCAGTTAATTGGTATAGCATTCACTGCTCTTGGTACCTATATATTAGTATTGAAGGAGAAAGTGGTACGAGATGTCATAGATTTCTTACTTGATCCGGCCTGTATATTAACTGTTTCTGGTGCGATTATCTTCTGTCTAGCTTTCTTCGGTTGTATGGGAGCTCTCAGAGAAAACACAGTATTTTTAAAAATTGTAAGTTGAGTTGTTTCGTTTCTTAATATCAATAATTTCTAAACGATCGAAGTACAATTTGCCACAAATTAGTTTTTATTGTTGGCTAAGACACGACTCTAGTGATGATGTTGGGCTTTTGTAACAAAACGTCCAGGCACATTCTTACACGGGCGTTACAGGATTAAACAATATTACTGTTCTTCAAGGAAACAGGAGTATCAAATGGACATTTTAGAGCAATAGACCTTTTTATACGCAGGCATCTTTTATTTCAGTTTTATTATGTGACTATGCTATGTTTAGTTGGAGAAATAGTATTAGCGATATTGGCTTTCATTTTTTATTACGCACCTGATGTTCGAGATCAAATGAATCTGTTTCCCGAAAAGACTTTTAACGAGGCTATAGTGAAATACCGAGATGATCCGGATATGCAGAATTTAATTGACAGTTTTCAACAATCAGTAAGTTCCTGTATTTATTGATTGTTTTCCTGTTTGTATTAATTTTCTCCTACTTGTGCTTGTCAACATACCAATATACGAAAATGTCGTCTCTATGAATGTTATAGCACAAAAGTAGGACGTAAAACTTCATTCATTCATTTATTTTTTATGATGTTAAAATTTTTTCAATATATAAAGGGACAGGTTGACCATATTTTGGGGTTGATTAGGATCTTGAAATGTACGAAAATTGCATAATTCCTTCAAAAATATCTCAAACTAGAAATTTCACTTTCTATTTCTATATTTATCCTTTCTATAAATGGCCAGTCCAGTGGAAAGTCGTGTTTCTGAGACTAAGGTACGATTGATGAAACAGAACCTATCCCTTTAATAATTCGGATTGTAGGTTTCTTGGTGTGATTCGTAGCCTTGTAGTAACGACTGATGAATACAGAGAAGGCTAGCAACTTCTTAGGAAATATTAAATGAATAGAGAAAAAATTTCAGAGCAAAAAAAAAAAAATACTCAATGATTTCAATGAAAATGCCCTCATTTTAGAGGTATCAACTCTAGACCCATGTCAAGAACGTTCTATATGACCTTATACATTTATACGATATTATACTTTTTGACATTGCAGCATGCAAATAAAACCACTACTTTGAAAATTCTTTTGTATAATGATGATTCTGTTTGTATTTACAGTTGGGATGTTGTGGATTGTCCAATACAGATGATGGCTATAAGGATTGGTTTAAAAATTTATATTTTAATTGTTCGATAGAAAATAAAAGTCCCGAAAAATGTTCTGTCCCACCATCCTGTTGTAATCTTAAGCCGGTAAGAACAAATTCTATGTATATTATAATGCAGTGAATAGATACACTTACCCTTATATATAGCATTCATTGGATCTCTGAAGTTCAAAAACCAAGCGTATAACCTTCTCAAATTTAAGGGCCTATACACAGGAAAGTGTTGTATTCGCGCAGAAGTCATGTATCCGAGTTATTATGTCAGCTCATGTGAAATAATAATATGATAATTATGATTCAATAATGGTCTATTGCAGGGTGAAAATATCAATTTATTATGTGGTGGGAATGTTTACAGAATAGACGAGGTAAGTTCAACAAACTGTTGTCTATGTTGGTTTTATGTACAAGTTATCCAGGGGTACTGTTTAGGGAGACAACTAATATAGGCCTAATACTCACGAATATTGGTGCAACCAATGACTAAGCAAAAATTTAGATTTGTTCAAAAATTTGATGATAAAAGCCCGACTAGAAATCGAAAAAGGCTTATTGAAATGACTTGAGATATGGAGAAAATGTTTTCACACGTAATTGCGTTGACCGTCATCATTTGCAAATAATATATTGTAATTTAATTTCCTATATGAGCTCAATTCTTTTATCTTCTAGAAAGGTAATACTATAGAGAACGATTTGAGTCGGATATATACTAAAGGTTGTTTAAAAGCAGTCGGAGATTGGATTAATGCACATTCCTTAGTGATAGGTGGGGTAGCATTGGGTATATTATTACCACAGGTAAAATAACTTCCTTTTCATAACGTTTCAATACCCAAAAATTTATAGAGACTGCCTTTTGAAGCAATCTTCCATAAAAGCAAAACAGCATTAGTAGCTATGCAAACATCAGTCGCAAAGCAACAAAAATGTATAAAAGATGGGTTCCCTTATTTTCATTTATGATTTATGTTTTTCTCACATGTCCATAATTAATTCATAACTAGCTAAATTAGAAGAAATTACCAGCAGAATGCCAATAAGTGACCGACCAAGAAAGATCAAAAAAGTCTTTTTTTGTTTATGCAGACTGCAGTACACACATGGACATTTATGATTGGTTATTATATGCAATAAGAACATGATGAAATGATTAAGAATACATTATAATTCATTAGAAACAACAATTAATCAAATAGTTTGCTTAATTTGACACTAAAACAATAAGGAAACCCATCTTTAACAGTCAATTAGATGCTTGAAATACTTTTCAACTTACTCTTAGTCTTAATTCACGTCATCAATCCGTCTGATGTTTAATCTAATATTTGCATTGTAATAGTAAAAGTATTAGTAAAAGTAATACTTTCTAAATAACTATCTAATATTATATTTTCCTTTGTTTTTCCAGATTTTCATCATTTGTATGTCCCGAAATTTAATAGACCAAGTAAACGCACAGAGAGCAAAATGGCGATAACGGTCCGCCGTTTAAGATTTTAACTTACCCATCGTGATCATTCTTAATTTTAATGTAATAACTCTTCTGCGTCATAAAACAACTTGACGACTGACACTCGCAGAAGTGACTTCTGATTTTGGTATGTGCTATACCTAATTATGCTACAAATCAGTATTACTATTAATGCAGCAAATCTACATCATATAAATATAACAAACGTGCCTTATTGTGATAAATACTATGGTATTAGAAATAACGCTTTTCTTTGAATGAATGTACAATACATAATATACTGTGGACAAGGTCAACAATACGAGGGTTGGTTGAGCCAAACTGTGAAAGACTCATACCGGGTCGATGATTTATTTCTCTCCACAGTCCACTTTCAGGTTAGGTGGGGTTAATCATTGAAAATCTTTGAAATCATGGGCATGAATTTTTATTTTCACGTGTAGCAAGGAAACTGACGCGTTTCTGAACCACTGCTAAGACCTGTGGTACCCGTCATGGGTCACGAGATGGCCTGGTAAAAGATTTTCCATGAATCCGATTTATCCCTCCTAAGCGTAAAACTTGTAACTGTAAGTGGTGAATTTGAAATTCATTGTTTTATCAGGAGCTTTACGATGTATGCCTTGAAAGAATATAATATGAATGAATGTAGTATCCAGTAGATTTATATATTTGTTACTGATTTTATATAAATTGTGAATTGTTAATATTTTATCAATCATTTTTGTATTAAAATATATTTTAAAGTTCCTAGTTTTAGTTTCATCTTTGATAGATTGAACATAATTATGAAACAATAAGTTGATTGGTGTTGAGATTAATGTTGTGTTCGTTACCTTTCCGAAGAAGGGGAAATTTTCCCAGTAGGAAATTGTTTTCGAAACCTCTAAAAGTTGTATTTCAATTTGGAACTCGTGTAATCTTGAGTGTATATCCTACCCTAGCAAACTAAAGTAAGAATCTAAATAAACTTTTAAGTTATATCCACCCTGTGGCATGCTACAGATTGTGGTGGTTAAAAAGTAACAAGTTACTATTCCAATAAAAACTTCATCAGACAGATATTCCGTGGTGTCTGAAGTATAATTATAACATTTACATCTTCTTCTATATTAACCAAAGCGTAAACTATCCACCACCAACAAACCATTATAACTCTTAAAATAACGTTTAAAATGATGCAAGATTTCATCTTTCTCATACAAAGAAACGTTTAATAATACATTCAATCCGAACGGCGGAATATCTGTTTGTATGCGAGAAAGTACATCACAAGGATTCTGAAAGAGGCGCGAAGAAGGGTGAAGAAGTGAAAGCATGTAACTATTCGTTCAATATTTGGAAAGAAATTGGTCGAGCTGAGAAAGAAGAGTGTTTAGGGGTTTAACGTAAATGAATGCGCATGCCTCTCGAGAAAATTTGCTTGCGATATTTTCATGGCCTCGGCCAGGCGGCAAAACTAACATATTCAGCGAACGATTGTTCAGCACGTCGTCTTACAGATCCTAACGTGACCAAACAATTCATCTAATTCGGTATTCGGTTAATAGAGTGAACCAAACAGAGATTTTTCCTCTTCATTACCGACACCTCTGTATGTTAAAGAAATAATCATGTGACCCGAATTCAGGAATTCAGATTAAGTTACGTTCTGGTGCGTGCTTTGTGGCAGTGTGGTATTTCTTGTTTTGTAAAAACAAAAGAAATGTGTTTATTCAAAGATCATTGATGAGAAACTTGGAAAATGGAAACTTTTAGTTTTTTCATCTCATCATATAAAATATCAAAGTTAAATATCTTTTCGGACACGATTGTTGCAGATTGCAGAAGTAAATGTGGTCTGTCGTCCGACCTGATGTTTATCATCTCCCATCGACCTCACTCTCTTAAACATATTCTTACAAACCGTCATTGTATATACTCTATTAGATTTCATCGTTGGATTTCGAAAGGTCCTTAATTGAAAGCAACATTTATTTGAGCAAGACTTTACCGAACATTGTTTTAACTACTAGAAAGGGGTCTGTAAATAAAAATATACAATTTCGTTTCTTTTATGTCATTTTTAACTCAAATCTTGTAGGATTAAGGAGACTGATTTTGATGGTGGTATTTGTAAAAAAGCAAAAAAAGTTATGTTTTATCACGTAGTAAATGTCAACCTCTCCTAAGCTTTCCCAACCCGAGTAACTTAAGCTTCATTATATATGTTAAAATCAACTAAGATAACCAAAAATTACATGGAACTTCCAGTTTCCAGTAAATTCGTGTTATCCGCGTTTCACTTAGGGAATTTACACAATTTTACTACAGACTTGCAGCATAAAGTTGTGTAGTTTGAATTATCTGTCAAACTTTACACCATTTTACTGGAAAATTTTGTCCGATTACTCTTTTCGAAACAACTGATATGATACTTCTCTTTCGAGGAGTCCACTACTATACAACTTTTATTTCCGATTTTGGTATTCTTTGGACGAGATTTTTGATTGATGGAATTGTCTTACTTTTACAAATTTTTATTAGTAAAATTCTGTAAATTCATGAAATCACTGAATTATCAGCCAAATGTTTTTTATCTACCATATGCAGTACATCAAAAAACATTTATTATAAATAGTAAAACTGAGATTGATTAATGATGAACATGATGAAACCATTTTATACGCTCACATAAAGTGGACTCAGACCACTAAAACTTTTTATTTTTAGTAATCCTCTTCCTCCCTCCCTTTTTGGAGTTTTTGCATGCCTATTTTTGAATACTTTTTGGTATAGATTAGGAATTTGATGTATGAAATTGCATTTTCTTTCAGATTTTGTGAGATGATGAGAGATTTTTATGCGGAAGGATAATTCTAAAAATGGTCGTTTTTGTGTGCATTGACAGTCAAGTGGATGTTGATAAAATGTAGTGGTCAACTTTCAGTTTGGCTAGCTCAAGATTTTCATGGTCATGATCTATTGAATTTTTGTCAAGAAACTAAGTATTAGCCAGGCTTTCATGTGATATATTGGGAAGTTTTCAACGAGATATCTGGAAAAAGTTATAGAAGGTTGAATTTCGTGATTTAACATTTACACAGATGGCAAATGAATTACTGGTCTGAATCCAAATGTGGAGCGTATATTGGTGTCACCCATGTCTGTCCGTCGCAGTGGCAGCGCTAGCATCCCAAAACTGAGGTACAAATTTGGGGCAAACTGACTGAATTGGTGGACAACTGTTCGTTGTATTCTGATACATTTTGGGACAAAAAAGTATAAAAATCATAGTGTTACATTAGTTAAAAATAAAATGCTGCTACAATTTACTGTAACATATATAAATATAATTTTAGTTATTGTAACACAAATACCTTCTAAACATCTTTTAATGTGTAGGCCTATATGATAATCCTTTTATCTTTCAAAATGACGTAACAGACCAACAGAAAGTAACGTTACGAAAGACATACATTCAGTAATAAGAAGAATCAATACCAGAGTGAAATAAAGTATGTGTATTACTGATCTACCTTAACACTGTGTGCCATGTGTCAGGTAACGTATGTCAGAATATCGATTAGCGTTTATTCTATGATTACCACAGTACACCCGTATACATGATAGCTATCTAGGTTAATACTGGATGGTCTGTTACAGCCTAAATATTTTCTGTGATAGGAAAGTAAATGGTATAGTTTGTCTGAACTGAACTGTGGGAACAGGTACAGTACGGTTGGTGCTCTGCTACATTACAGGTGTTTGAATAATGGCGTAGTGACAGTTGCTATTTTTAGTAGCAATCGTTTTACATTCAGTTTGTCTAGCACAAGGTGAGCATGTTATAATCTCTTAGTTCTACTATTCCATTTAATCATGACACATCACAAACATTTGATTTTCTGTAAGTGTAAATGTAAATTAATGACAGGTACAATTATGTCCAGGACCTACATTATATTATATTTAGTACGGTACAGAAGATGACGCAGTTAAACAATAATAACACAGCACGCCCTTGGTAATTGAAATATGCCACTAAATAAATGTTTGTAAATGTCATGTTGCATTAAATAAATACTAAGAGATAATGCAATCTGTATTGTTTAGTATCATGGTTCAAGGGTTTAGTGTAATTTGAAATCAGTAGGTTATGATTTTATCATCATTAACATCATATTTTTAAAAAATATGCAGTTCAGTCGTACAATTTGGATGCTCGGTACTATTATGTGGATTAACTCGGATTAATTAAAATTCTATTTCAGATGGAAAATCAAATTATATGTCCGTTAACTTAACTTGATAACGTGTGCGCGTAAATATATTAGTCTGATTTAGGTGTTCAGTCTGTATTTTTTAAAAAGAAAATTCTTTGATCAGTAAGTGATATAATATCAAGTGATGTAAAGGGGTCAAGTTTAGGTGAATGTATGAACAGAACGTTTGTATATATATTCTGAACGACGTAAATGAATCGTGTGTATATATAAAAGTTTAAGTATATCATAGCACTATATACTTAATACTATGTTATTATAACTGTATGAAGAAATCTGCTACGTTGGAATGTTATATTAGGTCAAAAGGCTTGAAAATATTCATTATGTACATCATATAAAAGACTAAAATAGCTGTCAGTCTACACTCATCATTTCTGATAAAACACATATGCCCAAAGTACGTTGCGTCGTGAAAGGCTGTTGATATTGGATTCTCGGACTTTTTATAGGTGAGGAATTGTACCATCAGTAAGTACCAGATTTAGTTTTAATTTCGTTACGTTTAAACAGTATTGCCTTCACAAAGAATCATTTACTGGAAATAAGAGTGTCCACATTTTGATATCGTAGGCGATGATCCCAGTTTACTAAAGGTGGCAACGATCACCCGTTGCTTGCAGTAAATCGTACTCTACTCTAAATATAATATAGAATCTGCTAGTCGACATGTCGGTCGAGATCGGAGATTATCTAGTTGATAGCAGTTGTTATTAGTGGTTGGTCAATTTTTACGATTTGAGCGCTCCCTTAGTCCACTGCTACGGATCAAATGAGTTGCTTTGATTCGCGAGACGTTCTGAGGCCTCTTTCATCACCCGATCCGCCTTGAGTTTTGAACTCCAAAAGTTGTCCATTTTATTGCAAAGGGACGACCTGTAGATATTGACCATCTAAAATAACTATGCTGTATCACCAGATATCATCAAAACCAATTGTGTGCCAATTGGCTTTAGCTCGTGAAATAATGTCTTGTGTTATTAAGAAGGTTTAAACTGAATGATGACGATGATATAAGAAATCAATGTTCCAAAAATCTGAAAAATGGAGGTCAAATTCCTTTATTTTATTAGTCTTTTTGTAGAGACGTATAGGTTCTGAAGTAATGACTTGGTTGGGGATACAATCAATGATCTGATAAAATCGACAATTGTATAATATCAGAACAATGAAAGTAGATAGATCGGTTCTCTAAAGAAATCTAATTTGACCAAACCCATTCTTAAACTAGCATCATGGTATCTAACAGAACAGTGTCCACATCCAACGACATTTACAATCATTATTGTACGATATTCAACTTTGAACTTAATTCTTTACAGCATTCTACATCTGCATTAAAAGATACGAAACTTGCTAATGAAGACTAGTAACAAAATGACTTTTACAGCTTTTAACACTCTGTTTTTTTTTTTAACCAATTCAAGCTACTTTGCCCTTTTTACCAGCATTACTGAAGGGGGAAAATGAGTTGCCTGGATTTAAATAAGCTTACCGTCAATATTGCTGCTTTATCTAATATAAATAACTTCATCACACTGATACCAATATCACCTCCTTTCATATTCTCAACAAATAATACAAGCTTGAAACAGAATTAGAAAATGGTCTAATTAATTTGTATTCGTATTGGAATTACCATATTAAAATATTTAACCTCACTATCCAATCATAACATTTGTAAGCAATTTACTGACTTTTATGTCAATTTATTTTTTCATAATACAGAACAAATTAACAACCTTTACAAATTGACAGAAAAAAATGAGAAAAGAATTCTCACTGCTTCGATCGATTGTGAATGGAGACTTTATTTTATAAGGGTACTGAAACATAATCGAATCGGTGAACAATGCTAGAACTTACCGATGACAGAGCTTTCTGATTTAGTTTTGTGGTATCAAGTAATTTTGATGTTTCTAAACATTCTAAAGACTGAAATTTGATAGCAGAAATCATATAAATAATGTCAAGATTGTATAACAATGTAAAAGGAATAAGAACTAACTGAAAAGAATAAAAATCTTAAATTGATACGCAAGCAACACATGACAACTCGGACTTAAAAAGGATTATTTATCGATATTTATCAGATATAACCCCTAGGAACGGATGAGATTATTACCTAATTAATAAGTTATTTAGGGTCCTACACAATAATTTACTCTCACCTTTTCATTCAGACTGGTACCTTGTAACAAGAAAATAGTCATATCAATAACTGCCATACAACAGACGAGGGCGTACGCGATGGTTTCTGTGGGGTCCATCCAGACGTATACAAACCCATGAATATACGCACAGATGGGACCAACATCAATCGTTAAAGACATACTGCTGAACACAATTAATACGTCATCAGCTTCTTTAACAAGCTTGGATATTTTAAAATATCGAGATTTAATATCTTGTATTTTTCTCTCAGAAACCACGGTATCAACACACTTTAAGAACTCTTCATTACACCTCGTAAATTCCAGCTTTAAAATTGAACACATAAAAAAGAAGAATAGAGGCACTACAATTTTATGTCCACAGAATAATAAAATAGAAACGATATAAAGAATTCCATTTAAAGTGAAAAACCAGTGGGATCTATCTAATAACGGTGATTGTAAGCAATTTAAGTTGCGAGATGAATCATATATAAGTGGATTCGTAAATAGAAACACTACACTAGTCAAGGGCATTAGTATGATACATACAATAGTACAAATTTTAATTCGTCTTTCTAGATTCACGTATGACACTTGAAACAGTGGATCCATTCTTAATTCATCGCAGGTTTTCAAAAATATCTTCAATTTTCTCGGTAAAAAGAAGAAGCCAAATATAATGTAACAAACACCCAATAAAGTAATAATTAACATAACAGCATTAATAATAGCATTTTTAGATTTCATTACATTCTCAGCCCCAATAAAACACCATACAATTTTCCCAGTAAAGACTAACCACGCAACGCAATGGATGAAAGCATACACAGCCTGAAAGACTAATTTAACTCTTTTAACATTAAATTCACGATACAAACAAAAGGCAGACAATAACCACAATAACCATTTTAATGTTTTATAGGTTGGTGAATACGACTTATTCCATCCTTCCATTCTTCTTTGTAATTTATTTTGATAACACGAAGAGGCGGTCAGTGATGATACTGATGAACTGCTGCTGTTGATGTAGAACGTATATCTAAAACCCACCAATTAACTAATTATCTACATTATTAATAATAGATGTTCCTTGAAATGCACCAGTCCATAAAGTCAACCCTTTTACGAACACAATTCAAATTCTCCCAATTAACTATTCTAATGACGACTCTTGTGTTTTAAAGAATTCACATTACCTTAAACCTTTTTGTTAAAAGGCCTAAAACGATGTTTTCGACAATAAATCAGTGGATTTCTTATGACTAAAATGTTTATCTATCCTCTACTCTTATCTCCATTGTATCCGAATCAAGGTTTAATGGAATATAAAGCTGTCTCATCCAGAGAAAATTCACAGGTAATTTAAAAATCAATGTATGACATTCCTTACTGACTAACACAATCTAAAGATCATCTCGAAGCCCACTTTTCGGATAGACCTCTTAGGACTTTCACAGAATAGGACACTTGCACCTAGTCACTGTAGAATTTGTCATGAAAGACGCAAGTAGAATGTTTTTTTAAGGTGATACACTCGTCATTAAAACATTAATATGACGTCGTGCATTACGTCGCCAATGAAGATGGTATAGAATGACTGACACAGTGATCGGATGAACTTGGGCGACGAACAACGCGAAAAGAACAATGATCGACCCTCTCCCATTTATTGCTGTAGTTGAATGTTGATAGTCTCCATAGTTTGCAAATGGGAGTGGAGCGTGTATGGAAATCGCTCAGCGAAAATTGTATATTTTGATGGAGCGATAAAATAGAATCCCGAGTAACAGTGAACATTTTACACCTTGGAACATTTTCTAGCTAGCGCTGCAACATATCACGAAATTTTTTTTACCGGAACTATGTCAATACTGTCACGTGATCACTTGATTCGGTTAATTTAAATATTAAATGCAGGTTGTTTGCGACTAGATATGTTTGTAAACAAAGTCAATGAAAACAAAACATCCCTAAGATATGTATTCAAACTGATATTTGATAACCAATAGTCAAAATTAAGCATTAAATGGCAAAATTTTCCTCATTGTACCCTGCCCGTCTTTATTAGCTCACATGGTGCAGAAAAGTAGGACGTAAAACTTATTTCATTTCATTTCTATATGACTAAATGACATGACAATGTTTTTCAACATGGGGGATGATAAAGAAGTTCTATTACTCCCCCTTTAAAACAGGCGCCGTATGAGGCTCTCTGATGTGTCAGTTTTGCCGCGCTGTGAAATTCAACTGAGCCAACTGAAATATTCCATGCTAATTTTCGCGAGCGCGAGCGACAGTCACTGTAACACAAGCGCAAATGCGTGATCCCTAATTCATGTTCATCGAAACTTGGAGCCAGACTTAAAAGCTCCCATTGTATGACTGTTATCTTTCATACCTCTAAGTTGAGTATGTCATATGTAAAGGTACACAACTCTATTGATATTTTTCAGGGTTTGACGGGAACATTTGTGTCGTCATGCCTCAATACTTACAGTTTATAAGTGGTAGAAAAGAAGCATTGAATATTCTCTACGAGGAAAAATAATAATTAAGGAAAACATGGCGCCTAGAGAAAGGAGTGAAGTGAACATATGTTTTAAATATTTTTTGTTCTTTGCCAACTGTATTTTTCTGGTAAGTTTTACTTTTGTGATCTTTTAGAATCTGTATGTTGAACAGTGATATAAATTTAGGTCTACTGTCACAGGGCAATAGAGTAAACAATGTCGCTTGATATTTGATATAGGGTTTATTCAACCCCTTATGTCTACAGCCCCTACCTTTACTGTTAGGGGACAATATCGACCATGGTTACAAGAGGGTGAGAATGAGGTCACGTTCAAACTCTAGATTTTACTTAACTAATTTGACTGCTAATGAATCTTAAACAAAATCAGTCCAAAATCTTTACACATATTTGTTATATTCTTATTTTGATCGCACACAATCTGTAGATATACAAAGATTAATAAGCATATTGTTGGAATAGCTAATATAATGATTTGTCCTGCCAAATTATATTGAAACGGGGAGAGTATTTGAGCCAAGAAAAAAGCACTAAATAAAACGAATAAGGAAAAAGTCAAATAGGGCTAAAGATTATATTTGATTAATATTATACAAACGAGATCACGATCAGCCTTTTTAAAAACACAGGTAAAAAGTTGAATGTATGAGACATTTCGTCATATTCAGATGTAGCCAGAGGGGTATAAAATATGATTTATTACTGTTTCAAGTTACCACCCATTGTTGAGTACTGTTAACATGTATGTGTTTTATAATATTATATTATATTTTATACGAAAATTTTCAAATTGATTCATTATACTAATGCATAAATCTCTGAAGTCTCTACTTGCGACCTAGGCCAGTGCTTCTGTAGGAGAGTATCCCTTTAACACCTTACACGAAAATTCATTCCCTAATTCTTTGAATTTTTTTTAAAATGAAAGATGACTTAATTTGACAACAATAAGAAAACGTCCTTTTTAGAATTAACTGTGCCTCACGTGGGCTTAATCTAAATATATACAAATACAAGACACTTCTAAAATATAAAACAATATTTTAACAAAAGACTGTACAACATTTGAATTTAAAGGTATCCTACACCTTAAGATGACCCAAAAATTAATATTTGTAGACTTAAATGAGGTTTTGTTCATCAGTGGACTTACCTGGTGTCACAACTAGCGGATAGAATCTATATATAATCCAATAAATAAATAAAACGCGGTATTAATCCATTAATCTAAGTAGTTTTGAAACACGCTTAGAAGCATTTTTCGACATTTACTTATTTTAATGGATATATCGTCTTATAATTTATATTATTAAGTCATGGCACCTGGTAGGTCCAACTATATTCCTTTATTGACCAAGTTTGGGACTTAAAATTTTATGTCCATTCTTAACGGTAGTATTCCTTTAAATGAATACATTAATAACTTGTATAACTTTTGCTTTCGCTCTTTCAAACTTGTAAAGTGAAAGTTTCCTTTTTCATGCATTAACAGATGTAACCATTAACACGTGATTCTGAATGTACTGGAGATAACTTGTGAAAAAATGTACTTACAGACATTTACAACATATTATAACCTAAGCAAGCACAAAAGTACAATTTGTAATTGTCTCCTTCTAATCATTTACAGTGACCTTTCTTTAGAATTTTTACTAAAATTGCATCCAATCCATTTATGTTTCATTATTTGATGCCAATAAAATATGTTCGATCAAAGATAACTGAACGAAAAAGAAAAAAGGGATAGTAATATGGATGGTTATGGTTGAATAGTAGGCCTAAATGTATCTCACCGACAATTTGAAATTGGCTTTTCGCTTGATATACGCTGAATACAAAGTTAATCGTGACACTTTCTCTGTGTAATATGTTATTGAAGTCTAAATATAATTATTTCAATGAATAGTGACGAAGATCGTTATATAAAGAATATAAATCATAGGTGTTATCATATGTGAGTTACACTATGAAGTGTGTTTATGTTGATATTATTGTGCATATTCTCTATCTCAGTGGTTTTCAACAACCGGTTTTTGTAAATTGTAGTAGGATAGTGTTTTTCCAAGACCTGTAACACAACAATATTGTCCCGAAAGACAATTGCAAATGTCCGTTTGAGGTTGTGGTTAAAACCTACGCTCTACCTCAACTTTACTACCTGTTTGAAAACATTGACACATAGCTATATCGAAAATGAAATTTAATGGCATTGTTTTATGTATAATCTATGAATTGGTCATTTACCATTAACACCACTTGCTGAGGTCAGTCGGAAGTTCGTCCAACAAACGCTCACATACCAAAAGTTACACATCCGTGCATATTTGTAATTTTTGATATTTTAGATTATATTTCACTGCAGTAATTTTTCCGAATTCTGCAAAATAATCCATCACAGAATTCCCATTATCTTCTATTTCTCTAGAAATATATATTTGTACTATTCCTCTTCTGTTTCTCCCAAACTTTAAAAAAATAAATTTCACATCGTGGTATCGAAAATTTATCAGTTTCTGTTGTAAAGATTTGGCAATTTATATGTATCAAATTAAGAATATGAAAAATAATTTTCAGTATTATAGAAATATAATGAAACAGTGTTTAATACATAATATGTTCAGGATTGTTATCAGGAAGGTCTGACTACCCGTGCTAAGATAAAGACCATGACCATGATAAAGACAGTGAACAAGACTCATTCTGAATCCTCTTACACATCAGCTAATCTATAATAAAAGAAAACATTCATGAATACCGAAGTTAGGGGCTTTGTATCTGTATATTACCTTCGAGATCACCGTAGTTTTACCAGAATATTATTTCGAATGTCCGTCATAATTTTGATATTATTTAAATTTTAGTTGATTGGTTTGGCCGAAACAGGTGTCGGTAGTTATGTGTTATATTTTAAAGAAAAAACAATACGTACAGCAATAGATTTTTTATTTGATCCGAGTGTTATGTTAGTATTCATTGGATCTATTGTTATCTTTGTTTCTTTCTTTGGTTGTGTTGGATCACTGAGAGAAACGCTGTGCTGTCTTAAATTTGTAAGTACTATTCAGTTTGCCATATTTCTATAGCACAGTCGGTTGGAGCGTTGGTACAATACAGATGGTCGGAATATAAGTCATCTTCTCTCATAATTCCAGCTGTAAACGAGTACGGATAGTCTGGGAAAGATCAATGTCAAGAGCTTTGGCCAAGGACCAACTGGTAGAAAGGGCCATTAACTGTAAAACTAGGTCGTTATCCTTGTAAAATATAGTTGTTTCTTTCTTTTCCAATCTCGTTTTAAATGTGATAGTAATTGAAAAGAACCATATTTAGCCTCTGACCAAAAGGTATATCTTTTTTGACGATGATAGCGTTCAAAAATAAGACACGATGGGGTATGTCAGATACGTGGGTTGTTTATCATATCAAATAAGATATTGGTTGGTTTCTACCTTGTGGTTCTATTAAACGACTGGGTTTTTTTTCTATGTTTCAGTATTATATCATACTAACATTACTGTTATTACTAGAGATAATAGCTATTGTGTTCGTCTTCTTGTTTTATGGTGTTCCGGAAGTAAGGACACAACTGAAACTCTACCCAGAAGATACTTTACGTGACGCAGTCATACAGTACAGAGAAGATGAAGATATGCAAAATTTTATTGATGAAATGCAAATGCAGGTAATAACAAACAGTACTATCTATAAATTTTCAGACACTAAAATCATTTACGGTTCATAAAGGGCGTTTATGGTGAATTTTATATTACTGAAAATAAAAACTTGTCCACATGTGCTTGATAATTGGACAAATTTGAAAACTAAAATGATAAATCAGTAAACAATAATGTAAAATTAATAGAATTAGATTATTATTCAAAAACAAAAATAGAGAACCAAAATGAATTCAGTTAATAGAAATGATACATGGTAAACACAAATCATAATTGAAGAATCGAAAAATGACATATGTCGAAAACGAAACTGTCGTAGACGATGATGCGTGGTTGAATTTCTTGTTAATTTGAAAACGTGACCCGAAAAAGTGCAATGAATACTACTATTGTTATTTCAGTTAAAATGTTGTGGTTTAAGTAATGATGAAATGGGATATAGAGATTGGAATGTAAACCAATATTTTAACTGTTCTGACTCCAATCCTAGCTCAGAGAGATGTGGGGTACCATGGTCTTGTTGTATAATACAACCTGTAAGTTTACTTTAAGTGTGTAAAGGGATTGGGTGTAAGCTCAAAGAATAGTTAAGACTCCTTTATTAGAGGGTGCGAATGTCTGCTTTCCTAGTTCCGTGACATTCCAAGTAAATGTATGATTTTACGTCATGGTTCAAAAAATTGTGTAGCGAATAATTTTAACAGCAAACTCTTCTCACTTGACTGAGAGTGTTTGAAAACGTCACCATATTTACTTTGATTCTGGAAACAGAATCTGCATTGAAGTTGTAGATAAATATCATATTCCCTTCCAATTTTAATAAATTTCAGGGTAAAGCTATCAACTACCAGTGTGGTGGTAATACTTACAATGAGGTTAGTTTATTTTACCTTCGAATATTTAGATTAATGTGCAGGATTATTCTCCAGTAAGTTCCCGATCCTTTATCAGTTATAGAATAATGTAAACCTTATATATTTCAGCCTACGGGTATCTATACCAATGGATGTTTAAAGGGTCTTGAGATATGGTTGAATGATAATGCCATTATAATAGGTGGTGTAGCTATTGGAATCTTGATACCTCAGGTAAGTACATGTACATCTATTATGTAATGAATGTCCAGAAGGTGTCGAATTAAATGACTTACAAAAATGTAAAACTTAAATAATATATTAAATTAACAAATTAACTATGACATAAGACCGTTTTTTCCTGTGCCTTTTTTCTTCCTTAATGAAGTTTGATTTCGATTTCAGGCACTTTTTATTTATATGGGCAAAACAATGACATGGCAGATTCAAGCACAAATGGATAAATGGAGATAATGTTCCAGGATTTAATATTCAATGTGATTCCATAACTTATTATTTTCAACTAATAACTTACACCAATCGACCTTGATCATCATTTCGTGAAAGAATACAGCACCCTATTTATCTTTTTAACGTCAAAAATCTGGATGATGTTTATCTTGGAGTTTCGTTTAGCAATTGATTATTGAAAACGATGACACCATAATTAAAGAAGAACAAGATATATGGATATACTATTTATCAAATTCATAAATTTATCAACTCAGCGTTTTCACATTATAAACAGTCCTTATACGTTATTTATCACTTTTACATAAGCTACTGAGTTCCAGTCGTAGAGTTTTCAAAAGCCAAAAATATAAACTAGCGCAAGTTTTATTTAAACTTTTCAACCAAAAATTGGTGACGAATTCTAGCTCAAAATATGTTGAATCACTTAATGTGGTTGTTGAATGTCATGTGATAGCTATGAACTGACCAATAGTTCTATCAACCATTTATCAGACGATCCTGCAATGACAAGGTCAATGACATTTCAAAGGCTTACTTGTTAAATGTTCGTGGTCAAGTTCTCTTCAACCGTGACGTCAAAAATAGCTAGTAGGCTATTAATTAAATATTGCTGAACTGAAATTGCAACGAATATCGTCTGGTAAAACAACAGTTATTTCATGTAAAATTAATCCCTACGTATTCCAAAGAGCAAAAGAAATAATATTTTGAATACAGCCTGTCTGATTTAAACTTAAAGCATTGATGTATTTTGTCTTTTTGGGTCCGACTTAAAGGCACAAACGAGCAAACAAACGCAAACAGGATGCAAACAAGTGGTGCATTAAGTGCAAACAATGGATGTTGATGTAAAGGAAAGATAAGACTAGACACACTTTCATATTTTATAATTTTTTTTACCATGATATCATGTAAAATTTTCTACGCTTGTGATAGTTCATTTTTTTTTAAATTTTGCATTCTCTCCTTTTTATTAGAACATTCAAGCCACGGTAGCCTCTAAGTATTTTTGTATATTGTAGAATATCATGTTTTGTATTATATCTATCTTGCTCCTTAAGCAACGGTAGATTATTCACAGCTACATGATCATTATCATGTAACGTTGCTTAAGGAACATTGTATAACTATATGATTGTACCATAATATGTAAAATGTTAGCCTATATTTTTGTATATAAATTGTTACTTTGATGCAGTTTCATTTATCTTCTGGATACTTAACAGGGCCGGAATGTAAATGTAAATGTAAATATTCCTATCCTTCCGTCAAAAATTTCATACGCTCACATTAAATATTGCAACGTTTATTGAAGTCAGGGGCCCAGTGGCGTACGCAGGATTTATTGAAAGGGGTCGGACCGAAGGTGCGAATTCGATTGCAGAGTACAGCGGCATGGGAACGTTTCAGTTGAGCTGGTGACACCGTATCGTTATAGCTCTCAGAAATATTATAGAAAGAAAGGCACCTTCTTGCATGTTACTGAATTTTCCAATCATCCAGCGGGTGCCCACGAC